TAAAAACAATGGCTTTGATAATTCACATCAGAAATATAGTTTAGAGTGCTTGGGTAAAAGGAAGGCTTACTCACTAGGTAAAAAATCATGTATAAGCCGAGCATATTTACCTATCCATTATGTATTTATTCACCTTAGCTGAAGATAGTTTGTAAGGTTCTAGTAAAATATGTGGTGACCGCCTGGTTACTTATATATCTCTTTGAACTGCAATTAATTTATTTTCCCCCTTATCTGCTTGCAGTGAAGTTGCACACAATGGTTCTCAGCTATTCCATGAGATTCCCTCTGGAAGAAACTCTGGATTTAAGGTTGGGAGGATTTTTCTTGGAATGAAACTATGTTTCATCTTAGGCTTTCCTTGTTGCATTTTATTTTCTTTTTATATGTGTGTGTTATATTTCCAATTATGTTGACTATAGGTTGTCTGCTGAGGCTTAGTAGAAAATTTTTTAATGTATGATCTTTATCAATGTTCAGTTGTAGCAAGTGTGCAAGTAGATGCTTGAAGGTAATCTTATTCCTTCTCTTTTGATATAATTAGGTGGTTCGATACCATTCCCTAGTTATAGAGCCTGAATCACTCCCAAATTTTCTCATTCCCATAGCTTGGACTCCAACTGCCAAGACAACTCCTTTCTTAGGAAGATCTCAATCAAATTCCTTCACTGATGCATGTGAGGGGGTGAATGGGAAGAAAATTTATGTTGGACATTTATCCAAAAGAGACGGAAAATCATCTTTTTCTTGTTATGCTGAGGAGATTCAGGCTGGACAAATCATTATGGGCATCAAACATTCCAGTAGGCCTCATTATGGAGTGCAGGTTTGTAGTTTGTTATCTTCATTGTGTTTGTGCGTGAAGATCCTGTTCTTTCACTATGTTGTAGTTTGATTTTTTCTTTGGTATCCAGTTCCATCCTGAGAGCATTGCAACCTTCTACGGGAAGCAGATTTTCAAGAATTTTGCAAAGATCACTAAGGATTATTGGTTGGGGTTGAGGTCATCCATTAGTGAGAGAAAGGTTGATTATGCTGGTAATTTTTCTATGAAGTAAATTGTGTCTATATTCTCACTCTGATCTCCATTTGTTTACAGAATAACCTAGAAATCTCTAGGTGATTTAGCTATAGTTGTGACTTCTGAGTTTATTTCTATCTGGTAACAGAAGTGATGAAAATATCATTAGACTTCCTGATATAATTTACTTTCATTACATTACATTACATTAGCTACTGAGGAAGATAGAGATAGTCAGACAGAGTTGCACCAGAGAGCATCCTGCATGTGTCATACCTAGAAATGTGTCACTAGTGACCAATTTCTGGTTTTCAGTGAATTATTTTCCGCAAGCTATTCCTTGATTTAGAGTATTTTCAACATCTCCTGATCTCTATATTCTGTTCATTGAAGTGACGACAAGTATTTACAGTTCTAGGTATAGTCCTGGGATTAGTTCTCATCCATTTCTCCATAGAATGACCTTTTGTTTTAACCCTGATCAGTGGACCTTACTTAGCATGCATGCAGGTGCCTAATGTACACAGATTACTCAAATCTGTTTCAAGAGGAGAAAATACGGTGAATAAATCGGGTGAGAAGAAACATATCTGCACATTCAACACTATACCTTCTTCAAATCCGAGCTATAATATAAAATTTTTGAAGATGAAATGGAAAAAACTTGATTGCCTGGCCAGTCAAATTGGAGGATCTAAGAATATATTCTGTGAACTATTTGGAGATCAGAAGGCTGAAAACACATTTTGGCTGGACAGTTCCTCAACAGAAAAGGTCTCTCTTCTCTCCCCAACTTGTATCTATGTAGTTCTGTTACAGAGTACTATGTTTTTCAAACTGTCTTTTTCTTGGACTCGGGCAGGAGGAAATATAGAAGAAAGATAGACTTTCATCCAACTTTTCGGCACTTCTCCTCCAATAGCTTTTGATGCCCCTGTTTATTTATTTACTTATTTATATCTATATCTATTTATGATGTCACACTATTACTTGGCTGTTATACAAAGATATACCTTGATTAATCCTTTATTGCAATTATCTTTGTTTAAGATAGTTATGTATTTAGGATAATATATAACTTAACAAATGTGTATCTTTCTTATAGCTTAAGCTTTTATTGAGATAAAATACATCTTTTGACATGGTGTGCAGGAGAGGTCCTACACCAATGCCATTTGACTTGTTTCCTAGGGAAAGTTTATTTGCAACTGACCATGTCATTTCATGCATGAATTTTCTGTTTCATCACCAATCACATTTTCCCTCATTCTTTTCTCCAATCCACACCCTCCAAAATGTTAATATTTTTCGTGACAATAATCTGCTGAGTAATATCTAGGGAAGAGCAAGGTTTTCATTCATGGGTGAAAAGGGTGGCTCTCTATGGAAGCAGCTTACATTCAGGTTATCGAATCAAAGGTAAAGATTTGGTCAAGACTGTTGCTTATTTGCCTGACTAAAATTTTTTCTTTTTTCTCAATTTGATAATGTACACCTTTTTACTGCTTTTAAGTAACAATTATCTGTGTGGCTTTGCATTTTCAGAGATGAGGCATATAAAGGAGGTGGTTACTTAACAGTTGAGGATGCTAGTGGTTATGTTCAAACTTCATATCTAGAGGATGGATTTTTTAATTATTTGAATAAGGTAACCTGTGGAACTAGATAAGAATTTCTCCATATTTGTATGGAAGTTGCAAATAAATATGATAAACATGTCGATAGCATAACTATCTCCTCTTTCTTTCTTTCTTGCTCTCCTCCTTCCCCACTTTTGTACCCTGATAACCAACTGCTTTGACTGACTTATTATGTATCAGGAGCTTGGGTCATTTTGTTATGATGAAAAAGATTACGAAGGATTGCCATTTGACTTCTATGGTGGCTACATTGGTTATATTGGGTAAATATCTAATATTAGTCATGCATTAGAAAACTCAGATTTTCTCCATTGTCTTCCTCTTAATATCTCTGCATGCTTTGCATTTGATGTGTGTGCTTGTTTTGGGAACTACTTTTCCTTTTCCCTTTAGAAAAAATTGGGGGAATTCCCAGTCAACTAAAAAACTTTGCATATACTTCTTGGAAGAGTGTGGGAGTTTAAGTTCATAATTTTTGGATGCATGGCCTGTGAATAGTAGCCCTTTGAGAGCACAGATTCTCATGGTTTAAAATTCAGAATCTATGCATATGTATAATCATTTGGCTTCATTACATATTTTTCCTGTTGGCTGACATTGAGTAACACCTAATGCAGGTATGATCTTAAAGTTGAATGTGGCATGACAACTAATCGTCATAAATCAAGGACGCCAGATGCTTGTTTTTTCTTTTCGGATAATCTTATTGTGATTGATCACGACCATGATAATGTCTATGTTTTGTCACTACATGATAGAATCACAAGCACGTCCCCTTGGTTGGATAATATTGAGCAGAGACTTCTCAACTTGAAATCTTCTCACTCTACAACATTTGTGTCTCCAGCATCACGTGCTAGTGAAAACTTTCTGGTAAAAACATGTTTTTCTGCTGAGAAATCTAGAGAGCAGTACATCAAAGATATTGAGAAGTGTCAAGATTTTATCAAGGATGGAGAAAGTTATGAGTTATGTCTTACAACTCAGATGAGAATGACAATAGGGGAAATAGATTCTCTGGGGCTTTATGTTGGTCTTAGAGAAAAAAATCCGGCACCATATGCTGCTTGGCTTAATTTTTCAAGGGAAAATTTAAGAATATGTTGCTCTTCCCCTGAGAGATTCATGCGATTGGATAGAGATGCAGTTCTAGAAGCAAAACCCATTAAAGGGACCATAGCTCGTGGTTCAACCCCAAAGGAAGATGAGTTGCTTAAGCTACAATTACAATACAGGTAAAGGATTATGCTTTTATTATACCAGAAAATAGAATAATAGAAGCAAATGATTGCCTTTTCTTTTCTTTTTATCAGGAGAGCTTTCTAGCTTTAGATCCCTAACCTTCTCTTGGTCACTAGAATAGAGCTTTTCTTTAGAATTGTTTCCTCAAGCAACTTGTTTCGTAAAACCTGGTCTTACAGTTATACTATTTTTGGCAGTGAAAAGGATCAGGCTGAAAATTTGATGATTGTTGACCTATTGAGGAACGACCTTGGGCGCGTATGCGAGCCTGGGTCTGTCCATGTTCCCCACCTTATGGAGATTGAATCATATGCAACAGTTCACACCATGGTGAGCACAATTCGGGGTAAAAAACGGGCAGATGTAAGTGCAGTTGATTGTGTTAAAGCTGCATTCCCAGGTGGTTCAATGACAGGTGCACCAAAGTTGAGATCAATGGAGCTTCTGGACTCTGTTGAAAGTTGTTCCCGAGGTATCTACTCTGGTTGCATTGGGTTCTTTTCATACAACCAAACATTTGATCTCAACATTGTAATTAGGACAGTAGTGATACAGGATGGTGAAGCTTCAATAGGAGCAGGAGGGGCCATTACGGCTCTCTCGAATCCCAAGGATGAGTATGAAGAAATGATTTTGAAAACTAAAGCACCTAGTAACGCTGTTATTGAGTACGTTAGGAATGCATAGAAACTAGGTCATTTCAGGAGGTCCAATACTATTAAAGATTATTCTTCCTTGCTAGCCCAGAGAGTTCATTCTTTGTACAATATACTAGCCTTAGAAAAGTGTAGCCACCTGCAGAACTCTCGGGTAGTGGTGTGTACTGTGTAGTGCTCTTATTATATTTACGGATCTCAAAATTCTCAAATGCTAGTTTGTCTCTTTTGGTTACTTTTTGTATGCCTTAGTTGAATTCCATGCCGAAAGGCACCAAAACCATACACAAATTCAACAACTAAATGATCAATTCTAAAGTGAAGGAAGGGTAACATAGAATATTTGATGATCTTTTCATCGTTAGTAAATCAAATCATGCCCCTTAACTAAAAGTAAAGATAAAAACTAAAGAATTTTTTTATAAATAAAATAGATAGAACTAATGACAAGATGAATACATGGTTATTTGCATTTAGTATACATTAAATTCTCAAGAGAGAATGGTGTACACTTAAATCCCTAATCAAGTATGCTGAATGATCCCATAGTGGGCCAGTTCACAATCTTGGCTAAATAGAATGTTTAAATTTGTACTAGAAAAATCTGTTAAGAAAAACAAGGTAGGCTAAAGAAAAGTAGAAGACCTTCTTCCACTGTGTGAAATTAAATCTGCAGTTGTTAGGGGCATCCACAATAAATCAGATGGTGCAGGGCTAAAAATGCAGATTATAGTAAACCCTCAAGAATAGGTTTGTTTGTAGCAGGATGATGATTGTGGGAAGACAACTCCTCTAGTTGCATATTCACTGATCCAAGATCCTCCTCCACTTTCCCCAGTGCGCTACGTGCCTCTTCATATTTAAGCATCAGTTCCTTCTGCTGTTGCATTAAACTCTGCTTTTCCAGTGCTTCATCAATTTGCACCAGTCGAGTTTCAACCCAGTTTACATTGATCCCACTGTTCTTCAGGTCCCAGAGGAATTGCTTAGCAGTGTTGAACTCGTCCCTGGACCTGCCCAGGCTCTCTACTGTGAAACGCTCAAGCAAGTACACTAACTCTGCCAAAACCTCCAAAAACGTTGGTTTGACAGCATTGCTCCAGGGCTTGAAGCCTAATAAAGAATCAGGGTACCTTGATATGACCCTATTAAGTGTTGGGATACACCGCTGGGCTACAAGGTACCCTCCCCAGGGGATTTTCTCATCCCCACGACCGGGGCCACCATATGGAATCTGGCTTGGGATAGATGAGATATCCATAGCCTGTAAGGAGCCTTCTTGGATAGCCATGGGTATATCCCCCATACCAGACTCTTCTCCATGGTGCTGCAGGATGGGAGACGGATCTTGTCCTTGCTCTTCTTCCCATTCCTCAAAATCTACATAGACAAAGTATAGCTTAATTCATGCAAAGACATACTAAAAAGAATTAATTAGGACTACATCTTGTTTCCCCGTACCTTGATTGCCCAAATTATTAAATCTTTCATCGTTCTCCCCAGTACCTCCTTCATGGTCCAACTCCAGAGGATCAGGGGATTCAAGGATATCATATAACCCTTCCCAATCAACCTCAGAAGATATTGTGGTTGGTTGTGGAAGAGGATAGATTGTCCCATCTACTTCTTCCATTTGTTCGTCATTCCCCTCACTTGAGCAATTGAAAAAAAAATATAAACAGTTGGTATAAAACAGGAAATATTAACCCCAAACAGAAAAAACAAAAATATTCAACAATCGCCTGGGAACACTACATTACCTTCTTCTGTGTTGGTATCCTTCTCCCTCATAGTACACACTGAGATTTATGCCACTGGCAACTGATTGTAAATGTTTGTTCAAGCTTATAATGCACTGACTTGTCCTGAAATGTTTACCACAATAAACAATCCTTTCATGTAACAAGTAGTGGCACACAGATGAATACCACATTCAAGTACTATAATCTGTGGGAATGATCATACCGTGCTTCATAATTGACCACAAAAAGAGTTTGGGTGGCAATAGCTTGAGATATGACTGCACCCAATACTTGTTTGGTTTGCCTAGAGGTTCTTGACAATCCAACACAGCTTTGCTGGTAAACAAGACGTCTAACCCCAACATGCATTTGCCCATTCTCTCCCCTTACAAAAACCAGCATTCAAAGAACACATGAGTAAATGCATACCGACTTTTGTTTGGACAAAAAAATACAGAGCCATACTTTCATCAAAGGAAATACAGGCAACTTAAATAGACATATTAGCAATTTAGGATGTCAAACTATATCAACACCTTATGAAGACAAATGAGTCCCCGGCAACTAACTCCTTACTCTTAACAAATGCTTTCCAACCTTTAGTAAGCAACAAATGTCTTGGAGGATGGCCTGTTGAAGTGTATCAGTGAGAGTCCTTACAGGCTTGTGGCTTATCTTAAGTGAGAAATGCAGTGCTCAACTACAGTTGACTTGATAATCAAAAGGGATTACCTCTGAATACATGCTGAAAACACCAATCACTACCATGAATATCCCTGGCTATAAGCATCTGGCTCGATTTCTCTTGTGTAGTGTCCTACTCAGAGAACAGCTTTAGCATGGTAAAATTACGAGTAAACTTGAAATAACAGATGAATGTGTGCGTGAAGGTTAGGAGAAAGGTTACCACTACTTACCAGGGCAGGAAAGCAGTTAATGGCATCTCTCCGAGGTATACACAGACCCCAGTTACTACGTGTATCAGACGTAGTTAAAACCTTGCTGAAAGAGTGAAATTGGGACCTTGGAGACTCATGAAGGCAAGGATCAACAGTATTCACTCCAGTTTCCTGCAAAGTATGTTAACTGGACTGTAATTCTAGCTTTTTCGTGCTCTATGGCTGGTACTACTTATTTTTTTATTCCGCATTTGTTTATATATATATAGGAAAAGAAGTTCTTACAAATGGTTGAGGGATTAAAGTAATTTGCGCGTACGCCTCATCTGTTTCTTGCTTAGCCTGCAGAAAAGGAAATATTATTCCAATGATCTCCCTTCTACTTAGAACTTATAGTTAAAATGTTTGGTTTCGATCTTGAATTTTGAATGATCTATCCTAAGGAGTAGCAGCCATATCTGGGCTATGAATGGATTGATTCCATCAGTATGGCTCATTCCACGATTGAGATGGACACAGACTTAATTGGTTTCTAAAAGAAAAATTAGGTCAAATCATAAGTACTGGAAAAGAGGGAGCTTACCAATAGTTGAACATTAACCACACGGCAAAGGACTTTTGGAGGAAGATTGGAAATTTGTTGTTGATCAATTACTTCTGGATTGGTTGAGTTATCCAGCTGCATAACCAATCCAAAAGGCCAAAAGATGAGAAAGCACAAAATAAAACATACATCTAAATACACTGAAATTTACGGGGAACATTTACTTGATCCATGTGAACTCCAGGAAAATAGAACACCCTCTGTCCACAAGTAGGAACACACATCAAGGGATCTGCACAAGCCTTCCATAGCTCCTCATATAGATAGTCTGCCGCTGTAAATTGCAATTGCTGAATTCATCAAGATACCCAAAACAAAAACTCAGATTAAGATGTCAATACTCAATATGCACCTTCATCAAAGCAATGGAGTTCTACTAACTGCTGGTGTTGTGAAGACCCAACTTGACCATCCATCATCCAAGTCCACTCCTCTACCTAGTGAAAGCTGAAGTAGCCTGCAACTGTGTTTTCAAAGCAACAGCTTCACATACATCTTTTACACACACACATACACACACACACACACATACACATAAACATACACATACACATACAAATACACATACACACAAAGTTTTACTCAAATCAAATATAATAGTGGTGGTATTTGATTCATATTACACATTTTGGGGGGGGTGATGAGAAAACCCACCTCTACTACCTAGGATGTGCACTGGGTAAACTCGTCTTGTGATCTAATCGGCAAAAGACTGCAAGAAGATAAATTAATTTAGGTTGTCCATCAACTCAAATCAGAGAAGACTTCAAAGTTAAACTTGAAACTTGTGATCAAGCCAACACCTAATCAACTTTGTTAAGGTAGCCCCATATTACACATTTTGACAGCCGCTATTTCTGACTGGAGCTCCATTGACCAACTCCTATTCTTTGTTGAATGCTTTAAAGAATACAGATGAAACTTTTCATGATTTTATTAGGGTATTTCATTCATTGTATATAATAACAGCAAAACAACAAAGTCAATACACACACAATATACAGTATACCAATAAATTAAACACACACACACACACATGGTGTGTATACAGTATACCAAATAAATTAAACTTATATGCAGTAAAGAATATAATAGATTAATACCACTGCAGATCGAATAGAAAAGGAAGTGCAAGCAGAAAGGCTTTGGAGCTTCACATTCCAAATTTTCAGTGCCCTCAAAGAAGTGAACAGAGAAAGATTAGGGCAGACTTCAAAATCAGTTCCAGGGTGGAAGAACCTGCAAGCTAAGGCAATCATTTTCCCGCCAGAAAACCTTAAAACCCAGAATTAGTCGATCAATATATATATATCTTCTGAGAAAGCAATGGGACAGGGTAGAAATGGGGGCGAAGTTTAAAATGACTCTAAAATGTCAATAACAAAATAATAAATATACAATATTTATGATATACTACAAAATAGTTAAAAAAATAGAGCTAAAAATATATTTAAATGGGGTGAAATTTTAAAACACTTTGAAATGCTATATAAATATTTATGATAAAATATGGAACATAATTAAATATTTGGCGACCAATGACGGCCGAATCATCGCCGGATGCCATTTACCAGAGAAGGCGACCAACTAGTCACCGGATATGATGCATGAACTGAAATAACCTGTAATACCAAGTAATTTATCAATTTTTGAGTTTCATTGCCTTAATTTAACATGTTCAATGGTGTAATTACAATTTTTAAGTAAGGACTTAATTAACTTTTCTGGTAAAATTTAGAGATTTATTTGACATTTTCTAAAAAAAAAAAAAAAAGAAGAAGATTAGCCAGACATGATACGTGATTTTTGCCCTTAGCGGGCATGTGCCTTTAATGGTTAATACTGCCAAGCATAACTTATAAATAGCTATGAAAAGAGATACAAGCATAATTGTGAAGAATGTAATAAGTTTACATTTTTAGTTTAATTAAAAAAATGTAAAGCATAATAGGTATCAATGGAAAATTACAAACAATTGTTTAAACAAAACAATCATCCCCTCCCTAGGCTAGACATCTCACCGTTATTATTATATTCACAAAATTAAAGGTACGGTAAATCTTATTTCCCTATTTTTTGTGAGATATTGTGAGCTCTAACATCTAACTCGGGAGTATAAATATAAAAGTAATTGTGTTTAATTACTTGAAAAACAATATCACTTTAATTCAAATATATTAACATTCAATTTTTCCTACAAAAATGTTTTTTGGGGTACTTATTTAAACGCAAATTATATTGTGATTGTGGTCCACAGGCCACACAATACGTATTGTGGACTTTGATATAAATTATGGTTTTGTTTGATTCGCATATAAGAATTGGGATCGAAATGGGTATCAAATACTTGGTAACGATAATGAGTTTTGGTGAAAGTATTTAACATGTTTGGTAGTAGAGTGGAATGAAAATGATTACTAATAGTAGTGCTTGAAAATGAATAAGGGAATGAAACCCTTATTTTATTTGCGCATAGGTTTTTTAATTAATGAGGTATTCGAAACCCATAGTAGTATTCTAAAAATCTACCAATTAAACAACAACAATCACTTTCATACTCATTCCTATGAACAAAATCCATCAACCAAACACATCCTATGTACATATAATTAATATATTGTGTATTTGTGTACTTTTCAGTTAACAATGATATATATTTATAGTTATTAACCGGAATTATAGTCACAATTCTCATGATAAACCTTAATATAATAATTACCTATTTGCATCCCGTGGCAAAAACACGACATGAGTCGTCAGGTCTGCAGAGTAGCATGCATGGCTCAAACATTATTGTCCTTTTGTAATAACTCCATGCCTCTGTCATTGTCCTTTAAGATAAGATAATAAAGATCGAAAATATTTGAGAAGTTTTGATAAAATAAATTGTTTTAATGGATAATAATGTCAATGATATTGTGGTCAAGGGACATGAAGTGACTCACTCTTTGTACTTTAACATATTGAAAAAATATTTATGAACAGATATTACACTATAATAAAATTAGTAAAAATAAAAATATGAGAGAGTGTTCAAGATTCTCACAGAGATCCTTGATTTTTACAGGAATAATGGACCCCACTAAGAAAACAAAGAAGCTACCTGGTGCACCTACATCTGGTGTACAAAAAAAAAAAAAAGAGGAGAAAACTACGTGAGTTTTGATAAGATACATAGACAACTTAATCTTGATAAAATTATGTACAAGTTCAAACTTATTTTTATTTTTTTTAATTTAACTTTAAAGTTTAAATAGTTGATATAATTATTTTATTAAGATGTTAGAATGATTTTTTTTTTTAAATAATAATAATTGTTGAATTTGAAAAAAAAAAAAAAAAAAGTCTAGTGAAATCAAAGGGTGGCCATGTGCCAAGACCTTGTGATCTAATGACACTAAGGTTGCACTCTTAGAGAGTGTGGGTTTGAGCTTCATTGGACGCAGCATTAACTACTACATTGTAATAGAGTCAGTAGCACTAAAAAAATAAAATGTACTTTATTTTCAAGAAAAATACATTATTTAAATACTAAATGTATATTATTTTATATAATGTATCCCCAATACACAAATAATATACTTTTAATTACATCAAAAATATACTTTTTTTTTTATAATCCATACAACACTGTGAATGATGGTCCATACAATAATTGTCCCACGTCTACCCGGGCCGCGCGCATATAGTAAGTACGATGGTACAAGCTACTTGCCTTAAATAAATGTATATAGTATGTGTAGACGGTGTAGTCTCAATCATTTGTCTCATCTCACCAATTCAACCACTACCAGGTGAAACAATGGCAATGGCAACACCGCTCACTGTCTCCTCCTCTCTCTTCTCTGCTCCTCGCAAACGCCGCCTGGGTTAGTTTCATCTTCTCACGCCGACCTAGCTTACCGATCCCACCTTCTTTATTTATATATATATATATATATATATATATATATGGAATCTACGTGTACTCTCAAATTCTACTCCCTCATTTTTACTGCATGAGATGACATGTCAAAAAAAGATTGACTATTTTTATCATATGGGAAGGGATCATGTGCGGGTGGGGCTTCCCATGTAATTGTGCGGGCGGACGCATGTTAAACATTAATCTGACACACTTAAAATACAAAACACACGCACATTAAGCACACAAACAAAACACCTTAAGAACACAAGTCTCACGCATGTTAAGCACAAAATTCACGCACTTTAAGCACAAAGACACACACACACCTTAAGTTTTAATAAACCCACATTAAGGTCTTGTTTGATAAAATGGTTGTTAGCTGTTAGCTGATTGTGTTAATTATAGGGTATAAATAGTTGATAACATTAGCTGATTGTAGATAAGTATTTGGTAAATTAGTTGTTAGCTGATAGATGTTCGGTATAATTTCTTTTCTCAAAAAGCTAATTGAAAAAGTTGTTTGGAGTAGCTTTTTGAATTTTAGCATTTTAGAGTTGTAAAAAGCTAATTAACCAAACATTTATATTGACATTTTAACTAAATCAAACAATTAATAGTGGTCAAGTAAGTCAAAATTGGCCTATAGGCCAATTAGGCTAATTTTTTACCAAACAGGGCCTAATTACACACTCACGCACATTAAGTACAAAACTCACGCACCTTAAACACAAAACTCACGCACCTTAAAGTTTCAACAACAACTCATATTAAGTAAACACTCACGCACATTAAGCACAACTCAGTACAATGCACATTAAGCACAAACCTCATGCATATTAATTACCTGCACAACCGCATGGGAGAAACTTACCTGCACTGAAGCTTAATTCTATGTATATATGATCGATCAGCTGAATGTTTCTTATACATACATATGGTAGCAGAAGTAGTTAAGGCTACGGGGAATACGTACGGGACTCACTTCCGTGTGACAACGTTTGGGGAATCTCATGGGCCGGGCATTGGTTGTGTTATTGATGGCTGTCCTCCTAGGCTGCCCCTCACACAAGCTGATGTTCAGCTACATCTCAATAGAAGGTGCATATTTGAATTGAAGCTAGCTGCATCTTTTTCTTTTTAAATCTAGCTCGTAACCATCATGTATGTTTTTATTACTTTCTTAATGCCTGAAATGTGCAAAAGACCAAATCCCGGTCCAATAAAAGTTGTGAAAGAGGCTAATCACATTATAGTTTTCATGACTCATGAATTAACTGAGTTACTTGTGTGAGCTATATATAGACTAATACTTCTTGTGTATGAAAGAAAAAAAAAAAAGAGTTGAGTTGTCTGATCTACTATTACCAATAATATCTTGTTACATCAAAGAGTAAAATGTATATTATGCTACAATTAAGATTTTACACTAGAGTCTTTTCAAAAAAAAATTGCAAATAGAAATGTTGTTTATTAAAAATAAAATGAATATTGATCAATTAAGCTCTTGAACTATTTAAAAAATTACAATTAAGTCGTTGAACTTAAAAAATCCTATTATATACTTAAACTTAGAAAAAAAAAAAGCATAATTAGTCCATTTTCAGGAAACCAGGCCAAAACCAGATTACAACCCCTAGGCAAGAGCAGGATACATGCCAAATTTCATCAGGCGTTGTTGATGGTAATTAACAGATCATTCATACACCTTTTTTCATTAAAAAAAAAATAAGAATTTCATTAACTGGCTGGGTTATGTGGATATTATTATCTGATCGATGTGCAGGGCTTACCACTGGGACTCCAATCAAGATTGAGATTCACAACCAAAATCCAAGAAAAGATGTAAGCATATATGCATTTCATTTCATTTGATGTTGAACCAAAATGACTGAAATTTAATTTGTATTATTGATAATTTGCATTGTTTGTCTGTATGTTTTTATGTTTCTTAGGACTACCATGAATTGTCCATGGCCTATAGGCCTTCTCATGCAGATGCAACCTACGATTTCAAATATGGAGTGAGGTCCATACAGGTGATATATATGTCTTATAATTGAAAACTCTTGTTTGTTTTCGTTTTTTGTTCTTGATCCCATTTTTCTCAGCATGCATATATGTATATATGTAGGGTGGTGGTAGGGCTTCTGCGAGAGAAACCATTGGGAGGGTAGCTGCCGGAGCTGTTGCCAAGAAAATCCTAAAACAAATTGCAGCAACTGAGGTTTACCTTACAGTAGTCCAGATTAAATGACTTATTTGCTGATACCTATATATATATATGTAGTTTATGCATTGAGTTTATCTGTTTCGTTCTTATTTGGTTTCTCCATGTGTTTGAATCCAAGATTCTTGCTTATACTTCTCAAGTTCACACGGTAGTACTTCCTGATAGCTTGGTTGATCTTGAAGCTCTCACACTTCCTCAGGTATATATAATTATATATATAGCCAGCTCCGTTAATTTGTTGATGTAATGAATTAATGATGAAGCTAAGTTTTGTTGCATGGGTGCAGATAGAGAGTAATATTGTTGGGTGCCCGAATCATGAGTATGCAGAAAAGATGATAGCTGCCATTAATGGCGTCCGAGAGAAAGGGGATTCTGCAGGAGGCGTGGTTACCTGCATTGTCAAGAATGTTCCTCGGGTAAGCTAGCTAGCTAGCTAATTTCCCTTATCATCAGATCATTTAATTATGGTATTTAAAAGCTAGCTAAGCTAGGGTTAATTAATTGAAATTGGGTGAAAAATATAATGATGAAATGTGTTAACTGCATGCATGTTCTAAGGGTCTTGGTTCGCCAGTATTTGATAAACTTGAAGCAGAGCTGGCAAAAGCTGTAATGTCCATTCCAGCAAGTATTGGTGTTGAGTTTGGCAGTGGCTTTGCAGGTATATATACACTATCTACGAGACTATGCGTTCATATTTCTTTTCTTATATTATATGCTCAAAATTTACTCGTCACGCACCAGTTACACTATCTATGAAACTATGCATTCATGTTTTTTAATATTATATGCTTAACATCCACTCGTCACTTAAATTCTCATCAGGAACACTGATGACTGGTAGTGAGCACAACGACGAGTTCTATGTGGATGAGCATGGAAGAATAAGAACAAGAAGCAATAGATCTGGTGGAATTCAGGTTAGTTAGTTTATAATAAATTAATTAGCTCTGAATTGGGGTATATTAGTATATATATATACACAACTTGGGTCTCCCGGCCTTGCAGGGTGGAATATCGAATGGAGAAATCATTCATATGAGAATCGCCTTCAAGCCAACACCTACTATCAATGTGAGTGAGTCATAATATCATATCATCATACACTGAAATGGCCTGGTCTGGTGTATGTATAATGTATGCACAAAATGAACATATGTATATATATGCAGAAGAAGCAGATGACAGTGACTAGGGACAAACGTGAGACAGAGATTACATTTCCTGGTAGACAAGAGGCATGTGTCGCTCCCAGAGGTTAGTTTTAATATATACATATTAGCTTGTAGGTAGGTTTGTATTAATGAATTGAATAATATATGATGGAATATAATGGCGGGTTAAATTAGCAGCTATTCCGGTGGTGGAAGCCATGGTAGCACTAGTGCTGGTTGATCAAGTGATGGCCCAATATTCACAGTGCATGCTCTTCCCTCTCAACCCATCTCTGCAACAATCCTTTGCCCCTGCCCCTGCCCCTGCTCTACACCAATCCTATTCTCATTAGTCTCAGTATGGTAGGGGTTTAAAGGTGTCTGCTACAGTTAAGACATGTTTATGACACCTCAGACAAACAAAAAAAAAACTTGTAATACTGAGTTGATGCGCGCGGTTTCTAAACTTGTGTAATGGCTTAGTAATTTTATTCCTTATTTATTGCTCCAATTATGTGGTTGTATTGAGTTTGTATTTAAGTGTAGTTTTGAATTAAAATGTAACTAAAATTATGTATATGTAGTTAACAAATTATGTACATCTAGTATCAAAGTTGCTTCTAATTGTGTGAACATCCTGTTAGTTTTAGGACTTTTGGGGCCCACGGAGGTCCAACACAATCCGTTAGATTGGTGGATTCACCAGAACAAAATAGTGCAAAAAGGTGACTAAAAGAGAGAAATTACTATTGAAGTTGCTTTGAAATTGTGGGGGTACTCCCCGAACTCTCTAACAGTTGCCCCAAACCTTTCTGGGGAGGGCCTATTTATAGGCGACTGACTTACAACGCTCTAAATAAGCAAATTAATGCGTAATAACTGAGAAATAAAGCTGAGAGACGTTGGGTCTCCGTTACTGGGCTCCTCTAACGGCTGGGTTGACTGGCGTTAATGACGCGTATTTAAGTGGCAACGGTCATCTAGACCGACCGACTCCTGCCGACGCCGACTCTTCCGACTGGCTCCAACCCCTGCCGAGCACTCAGCGAAGCCTTCGCGGAGCAGATCTTATTTTCTCGACCCAACTCCTAAAAAGCCCATTTCCCTTGTTTGTTTTCTTTACTTGGGCCCCTAGCCCATTAGGGTCCATACCCCATTAAGCCTTCATAACCCACTACTGAAAATTATGGAATTTTCGACCACCTGAAAATAATCTTAAATTAAGTTGAAAGTCTTGTTCCGACCACTTTTGATATCTGAAAAAACCTTTATTGCTATTTCCGACCACTTTTTGCTTTCTATTTGATTTAATATCACTTTCAGGTGGTCGGAAATTTCATAATTTACATTAGTGCTAATGACGCCATTATGTAGTGAATAGAGTATTAGGAAAGTTCCGCAGAACTAATTTTCATTATACACGAAGAAAATAAGCTTTGTTATAAACTTATAATATTATTAAGGATGTTGGATTGGTGACCAAACTACCCATATTCAAATATTCAATTATTAGTTAATAGCACCCCCCCCCCCCCCACAAAAAAAAATAAATAAATAAAAAAATCTATGCAATAGTGAAGGTTGTTTTGACCCCTAGAAGCAGGGAAAGAATAAAGAATTAAAAGTTTTATTTTCTAATGGCTATACCATTGGTGTCATCATCGAACTTTGGATGAAGAGACACTAAAAGAAATTCCTGTCTAAACTTTGGTAGATAGATATCACAATTGGAAAAATACATTATATTGTTCTAATAATATAATATTAAGCAAGTTATAATTATATCTTTAAAAAAAATGGGAAAAGGGTCAAATAGGCCCTCGAACTTTAGCTTAAAAGTCAATTAGGCTCCTAAACTTTTTAAAGGTGCAATTACACCCATCAACAATTCATTTAAGTGCAATGAAGCCCAAAAACAAATTAATGACCTGCTATCACAGGTCATTAGGGTTCAGGCCACCTTCCGGCGAATTTTCCAACAAAAAAAAGTGACCGGCGAAATTTTCGACAAAAGAAGTGACCGGCGAAATTTTCGGCAAATTTGGGTCGGTTGCTGGTCACATTTTTTTTTTTTGTCGAAAAATTCGCCGGAAGGTGGCCTGAACCCTAATGACCTGTGATAGCAGGTCATTAACTTGTTTTTGGGCTTCATTGCACCTAAATGAATTGTTGATGGGTGTAATTGCACCTTTAAAAAGTTTAGGGACTTAATTGACTTTTAAGCTAAAATTCGAGTGCCTATTTGACCCTTTCCCAAAAAAAATAAAAAGTGAACTTTATTGCATGTATTATTGTATAATATTTGATTATGACGTTGGATTGGTGATCAAACCGTCCATATTGAATAAATAATACCACAACAAATAATAATCTATTTTGTTTTATCCATGAAATAATTGAGCAATTATGTGATATGGCTTCTCTAATTTGACCGTTGGTCGTTTCTAATACATACTATACGCAACTCTATATATTTAAATAGTTTTTTTTTTTTTTTTTTTTTTTGGTAAAAATGTTAGATATAAATTTGATAGTTAAAATAACATTTAACTCATTCATATTAAATTTTTTTCGGTCACACATAATTTTTCTAGTACAATTTACTTTTTCTATGTAATTCGTAAGTTATTACACAAAAAAACAGAATTTATTCAGTACATATATGAATTTTTATAGTAATGGAGAGTTTTCGTCATTATGCACAACTTATAATTAACAAATTTGCTTACGACCTAAAGTAATTAACTTTAATTTGCATTTGTATTGTTACTACATTATTGTTGTTGTTATTGGTACATTGTTAAAGGAGATTAGATTGTTAGTAAGGAAAATCGATTTTTTTTTTCGGATTACTTGAAAAATTCACAACTATTATTTAGTGGCATATATTGGATAAATTTTGATCTTGTGTAATAGCTTATATATTAGTAGATTACACATGAAAGGTAGAAGATCTTGTGAAACGGGTTTGACCGAAAGTGAATTTAAATTATTTTAATATTAAGAAATATAGTATGTTATGTTGGCAATTGAAATTAAACATGAATTATTTGAATAAGGGATTTCTACTATCATTTGCTTGAAACCATTAGAGAGATTTTGAGACAAGACTGAGGCGAACATATTCTATCAAACACATACATATTAAAGGGAATCAATTTTTTATGGAGACGGGATGGTAACACAACATGATCATTCTTGTTCAACTTTACAAATTCTAAAGACCCCTAGAGAGTTTTTGACCATATTCTTTTTTTTTATATATATAATTTTTTTTTATGATGTCGTGGGCATTTCTATTCTCAAAATTGTGTAGTCATCTGATCTTGTTTTTATCTTCTCTTATATGTAAAAAAACTCTTTATACAAAAAATATTCAAAACATTTGTCCGGTCTATAAATTTAGAAACACTTGTAATTAATAGAAACTTATCTCTTGATCTTTACATTAAAGAATTTAAAGTTTTACTAACTCGACAAAATTTTTATTGGCACGCAATTTGCTTTTGCTTTGTGATGTTATTTTATATGAAAAGGGGTGGTAGCAGCTTTTAACTACTTTGATGTAAGTTTATATATTTTTGTTAAGAAAAATATGTAAGCACCGAAAGGTAGGCAGCTTTGTGAGAGCATAAGTGAGAATGACAGAAAATGTGTAGTAATGGCAGCTACACCAATAGACCAACACTTGAAATTATCCTAATTGCCACAAAATGTGGCTTTTATATACATATATGGATATAGTCATGGTCATTATCAAAGCATTAGGTGAAACTTATTGGACCCCTCTATCTATAGGGTGTTTGAATGGACAAGAATTGGTGTCTTTTTTCTTGGCTAACTTATTATCATGAGAGACTAAGCTTTCATTTGTAGGGTGTAGGGATGAAGAAAATAGGGACATTGCCTCGAAATGAGTGGTCAAGTGACTGAAACATGATTTTTGTATTAAAAAATTACTAGTTCAATTCTTGTTCATATTATCTCAATCGAATCTGTCACACATAATTTTCTTAATATAGTTTGCAGGCTATATATTACACAAGAGTAGAATTTATTTAATGTACATCATATGATAATAATTGTGCATTTTCATGGTAACTTGAAAAAGAAAGGAGGGACATTTTGGTGGGGACATAGATTAACATTATTGGGGTTTTGAGAGAGGGCAAAAGGGCAATAATGATTAGTGAAGAACTCGTGCTAACAAAAGATATCATGTTTGCCCTCTTGTGGTAATCCATTATTATTAAGTGGCCAACTAGCACTCTTCATCCATGTTCTATAAGTAATAAATGTTTTTAAATACTAAAAGTGTGGTTTTACTATGAATTAAATATAGATATTTTATTACAGTTTTTTTTTTAATATCCCACTACCAAGATTTAATCCTGTGACCTTCTTCCAAGGCTCAGAGAGCCACATAGGCGTTATCTAAGCACAATGTACTTGACTTACAGTAATTTTTATAAAATTTTATAGTTATTGCCTTATTGGTGAATTATTTATTAGTTGAATACATTTAAAACGTGAAAATAAAAAGCAAACATGCCAAATGAGTCTCAATCTCATTTTCCTAGTTTTCACTAAATATCTCAATAAAGAACCATTCACAATTATGTCTTGCGAAATAAGTTTTCTTCTCTACATAAATAAAAACCTTAATAAATAAATAAATAAGAGTAACATAAGGCAAAGGCAATTATGTCTAGCAAAAAGCTCATCACCATTTCTTACATTGTTTCCAAAAGATTGAATCTCCAACCCGACTCGACAGAGCATTTGGGAGTATATAAATCATGGTAACTCAGTTGAACATAGAGGCTAGATCTTTACTTACTGTGCACAATGAGCCCCCCTTACTTACATTAACATGCCCGTTTGCACATTAACAATATAAATAACATGTTGTCATTATTTTATGAAGATCAAAAGTTAAGTATATTAATAATTTCATTACTTCTATTAGATTAGTTTATTTTTTAATAAATTGATTGTTTATATGACATGAAATATGAGTGGATGAGATCAAAGTACTTGTAAAGAGAAATTTTACTAACAACTGTCAAATAGCTCCCAATTAAGCCATATACATACATACATACAAGGATACCACTCAAATGGAATGAGAAAATGTGACAACACGTACTAAAGTCACTAAGTTGATGATCCATTAATACCAATTAATTGCTTTTGGTCAAACCCACTCTGCTTTGTCTTCACCACCACAGATTGTGCTAAGTGTAAAACCCCATAAAAGGAGGGGATTGTAGGAATGAAAACAGGAAAGCCAGCACCACTAGACTATCTAGTAAGCTAGGTTTGCCTATCATAAGGGGTTTATCCCCATTTTAGTCCCCATTCATTCCACAATCATTTTTTGAGGACTGGACTATCAAGAAAACACAATTTTCCCTATATCAAAGGGTTTTATTTACTTTGACTTTTTCAAAGTGGTATGTCCACCAAATGCCAATCTCTCTGGCAGGCAAAGAATCCCACCAAGATCATCCTTTTTTACAGTTGAGTGTCTTTTTCAATGGCCACCACTCTTCTTCCTATCTCACACTCTTGCAAAAGTTAAAGCTGCATTTTTACCACTCTTCACTCTTAGCTTCTTCACACTCTACAAATTTCTCACCTGCACTGCAATCAATACAAGTTCACAAACAAATTAGCTTTCCCGTACCCATCATAACAAGTAATTCGTTAGTGTATTTTAATTTGATGATAAGCTATATTCTCTTTTCGATAGTAAATTTAGATTCCTACCCCATCTCCCCCGTCCCCCTCAAATGCACCAAATATGTGCATGTAGTCTTGTTCAACAGAGTTTTGACCACTTGTGCTTTTATTAGTAACATTAAACAAGCCTCACATAATTTCTAAAGCACTCACTGTCTTCCCAGATAAGTTTGTCTAGAACCTAGACACCAATACAATCATGGCAGCCAATTTTATACTCCACAAAGGATAGAGGGAAGCGAATAGCGATGAAGATGCATTATTCATGTTTTTACTATTAACATCAAAAGTCAAAACCGACATTTCTTCTAGCAGTTATGATATACCATAATGCTGTGGTCTCAGCATGTTTGAATGACACAATCATGGCTAGGCCAAGCTGCTTCGCCTATATGGATCTAGCATTTAAGGAAACTTGGACACCTTAAAGATCAAGGACAGGGGATGTTGGTTTCAGTTAATGAGTTCAGAAAGTTAGCTTAAAACACAACCAAATATTCATAAGAGCTTCAATATGGACCTCTGAAATCTATCTATGATCATGGTCTAGAAGAAAAGTTCAACTTTATTTGCCTAGTAGTCAACCACAACATGATTCATCATATCAAATACAGAAAAGCCCTTTTCTTTAATTCTTTCTATGAACCCACAAAGGGTTGCCAATTAAGCTCTGAATCTCAAATGGCCACAAGGCACAAGGTCCCCCCTAAAGGTACAAGCTTTCTTAGGGTCCATATCTGCAAATCACTAAATGGCCTTGGTGTCGGTGAGCTACCAAATAAAAGCTAGACTTTTCCTTGCTAGCTAGCTAGCATCATCACCTGTTTGGCCTGGGCTTCTCTCCATATATACCAGCCTATTGCAATCACCATGGGACATTTGTTCTCAAGAAACAGGAAGAAAATGACAAGAATCACCCACGGGTACACACAGATTGAACAGCAACAATATCTTGTGATTCACAAAACCTAAAGTATTATATTACCAAAAGAATATATATTTTTTATGGTTATATCATTATGCTCCAATTATTTGCATAGTTGGTGTCAGTATGATTAGGTGAGCCAACCATAACCATAGGTGATGCCAAAGTACTAGAAAGAGGATAATAATAATATATATTAATTTGACACAAAAGAAAATCTTACCCATGCCACTTTTCTTAATTATTTTGAATACTATTTGGGAGTAGCTTTCTTGATTGTGACAATGGGGGCAAGTCTCTTAGTCCTCCTCTGATGTTCCTGCACAAGTTCTCCAGCAAACCAGTCAAGTTTCTGGGAATTGCTTTGCTCTCCAATCCTCTTCCCCCCCAAAAGCACAGATTCCACGTTTTTCTGTGCCAGCATTTCATCTGCAACCCCAACAAGCATCCTCACATTGCTAGGACTGGGGTCGGTGTCAACACTCACCCCGCCACCAAAGCTCGATCCATTAGCCTGTTACCACCAAATTCAAAACCTATGCATTATATATCTTCTAACTAGCTATTAGGAAATCCAAATTTGATGCATATATGTCACAGCCACAGAAAGAAAGGGTAAATTCCATAAATTCTGTCTGTTCCCCATCCTGCAGAGGCAAGAGTAGAATAAAGTGGCACTGGAAACAGAGTAAATGATACATAGGGATGAGAGGAATGAATGTAGTACTCTAAATTGTACTGCAATGTACACTTAATTGGTGACAAAAGCCAACCATGATAAAATGCAGCAGACCAGTGGTATAGCCTGCTGTTTATATACACAGGTCCACAATAAATACTCTGTTGCCCTGCCTATTTATTTACTTCTCCAGGCTGTTGTACAGTGAGGACGGAGCTGGTTACCATTCACTCCTTTGGAACAGTAATGGAATATGAAGCCTAAAGTTGTTGTCTTTTATACAGGAAGTGATGACCCAGAAACTATAATCTTTTTTACAGTCATTTTCCATTATACAGGACTGTTAACTGCATTGATTGATTAGCTAAAAGAAAGAAAGAAAGAAACAAATTCCCTATTATGATATGGCTTGATGATCAAGAATTTAGTGGTTTTAGCTGTAAACTGGGAAAGAACACAGAGGGCATATCAGCAAATGTTCAAATTAATTGGTTGGGTAACCGTAACCATAAAGCTACAAGTTTGACTCTCACCCAGAGCCACTTTATTTGAGCGGGTCAACCTAAACTGGTTTACCCTTAAGTTTATCCTAATCATCGGAATTGACAACATATTTTTGCCATGCATTTCCCAGGCTGTCTGGTGTGGACTCGTGCAAATTATGAAGAAGAACGTCCGAAAACCATTAAATAGAGACGTACCTGAATGCGCACGTAATTGGTGCTCCGGGACTGGCCAAAAGCCATGGCCACGGCGTGGTCCACTAGATCGGCAGAGCCGTCGCCGGAGATGCGGGCCATGGGGCGAGCCCAGTTCTTGGCCTTCCATTCCTTGACTTGATCGTATGGGAAACTGCCTTCTAGAAGCTGTTGACCGGTTCCTAGTGAAAGAACCAAAATGTCCTCCACGCCTCTGACGAACGGGAACTCCTGTTTGTTGTGGAGAACGTGGGTAATCGCAGCCGCCGTCGGGTTGGTCATGGCTAGTCCGCCGTCCACGGCCACGCAACGGGTGGAGCCGTCGACGGAGCTCATGCAAACCGGCTCGAACACTCCCGGCTCCGCTGACGTGGCTCTGCATACCTCCCAGAGCCGGAAGTCGAAGCTGTCGGACTCCAGCGCGTCGGCCCGGGAGAACAGAAATGGCGCCGTGCTTGAAAGGTCGTAGCATGGAATCAAAACCGGCTTTAGTGTATCCTTAAGCGTCAAGCTCCGGCCGGTTTTCTCATCTGTAAATGCCTCCTTCATCGCCTTCTCTATACCGGCGGCGGCGGAAACGGCCCCACCTCCGCCTAGGAAAAATCGCCTGAAAATCCCACCACCTCCGGAGCTCGAGCCGCCTTTCGTGGAATACAGTCTTTTCCCATTCTCAGCTAAAAACTTCCACGTTCCGTCCGCGTTAAAGATTGGACTTTTCTGATCCTTCGTTCCAAACAACATCGCCGTAAAAATTCCCCCGACGCCGGAGCCGGCGGCGACGTCGAAGTAATCACAGATTCTGGCATCCGGGTTCCCCGATTTCGCCTTCAACGCCTGCTCCAAATACGCCAAAGCTTTCCCACACAGGATGCTCCGCATTCCGCCGCCGTCAATGGACAACACACAAATTTTCCCTCTCGTAGTACCCCCTTGCACGCACAGCGCCGGCGACGTCGACACCACTTCTTCATTCTTGCACTGCTCAACCGCCGGCGGCGCGATGCTCTTGGGAATCCAAAGCTTCTGATCGTCGTACCCAAACAGAAACTTGCTCTCGAGGATGGAAAATATCTCGTAGCTCAACTTATCCGTCTCCACACTCGGCTCCTGCATATCCCAAGTTTGATGATTCCCATTCACCCCCGACATGTCTGGAAACAATCCCACACCTCAAAGCATTTACGTACACCTTCAAATTCGCGTCTTTCAATGGTGAACGTGAAGCGAAGAAAGAGGAGGAAATATGCAGGTGCTTGCAAGGAAGAAGAAGAAGAAACTCAGAAAGAAAGAAAGAAAGAGGAGAGTTGCAGAGGATGTGTGATGTGGTAGCTAGCTTTTAAACCCCCACCACCATCTATGAAGACGCCATTTGTACTAATTCTCACCCAAATTTCCCTTTCTTACTTTATTATGCAATCTGACTAATCTCCCTTGCCTTTCTTTCTCTACTCCATCGTCATCCTAATCGTAATTGCGTACTCCTCTGATTTGTATACATACAGGCCACCCTCCATCTTTTTCACCTTGCCCAATCATTTTTCACTAATTCTTCTCTAACCCCTTATTCTTTTTGGGACAAGGAGGAAAAATTCACAAAATAAAGGTTGATTTTATATTATACCATACATAGGAGCATTGATATCGATTAGTACCACTGAAATTTCTCATAAAATGACTTGTAGAACAAAATTTTTGAATTTGCTAAGTAGGATAATACTATTAATTAGTTTCTTGTGAATTAAATTTGACTTAAGATATGAACACAATAAGATAATCTTTTTTTTTTTTTTGGAAGGAAAACATAATCTTTTTAATGTAACTATAGAAAGTTTTGATTATTATAGTACTCGGTATATTTTAACTTTTAAACGGATTTAGTACATGTGAGGTATTCAATTCATTAATTGTAATTGTATAATTATTTGAGTAGTCAAGCACATTGCGCTCGAAAGACATGTAGTGATTCAAAAATAATATATTATTTGAGTAATACTATACATTTTTTTCTACTCTATTTTTTATTCTTGACGAACATGGCCATATTTTGGTTCATCTAACAAAAAAAAGTGATTTACAAATTTGCTTCCTTTGTTTTTCTTCCTACATTAAAATTCATACAAATGGATGAGTTTTACTCTTTTAAAGTACACTTATTATTTTATATAGACATGATTATGAAATGCATTAAAAAAAAAAAAAAAAAAAAAAAAAAACACTTGTTACTACCCTCCCAACTCCCAAGGGCTGTATTCATAAATTTCCAAAGTTTGGGGTCCAAAATCCAAATTCTGTTTTAGAGAAATCCAGTGGGCGTTTATGTAATTACTTAGCCCAAAATATTTCACCGGGAATATCACCCCCTAGTTCACGGAGCCGTCCAAGGGTAACGGCCGTCCGACAAAATTACTGCAGAAATCGAACGGTGCCGGCGGATAGCGGTTACACCGTAACGGAGTACGGACTAATGTTTTTTGTCACCTCCAGATAACGGTGTAATTTGAGATGAGCCGTGCGTTGAGAGTATTAAACGCTTGTCTTCTTACGTCAGAGCGCGTGGGCCCACGGTCGACACCGTATATATCGCGATTTGCCATTTTTCCTTTCCATTTTTAAAAAAAATAAAATCTTGGCGTATAAAATTTCTGGAGGCATTATTTTGTTAGGAAATATATTTTTGTTTTTGATGGGAGGTGTGGGGCCCAGCGGCTGTCTCCTTGGACTAAGGCCGGCCCGAACGTGGGGCAGAGTAACAAAAAACCGGTCGTTATGTGTGGACCGTGGACTCGGTTCGGCCTCTCATCTATTGTCCACTGCCGTCCTGAATAGGTTTAAAACAACGGCTAATTCCCCGAACGTTGTTACTAAATATAAATTAGAGTCGTGTTACCATGTTTAGTTGTATTATGGGGTCATGATTTGTTAAAGTGGTTGATGGAGGACTATTATACCCTCAAATTAGAGGGTGACTTAACTCTCAAACAACGGAGGACCATATCGGACATAAATTGAATAGTTATGATTAGATCGGTCAAAAAAATAACTCGAAGATTAAGTCGGTACTTTCGCTATAGTCGAGAGACCATTTTGATAATGAACTCGGAAGACTTTGATCAATTCTAAAGTTGTAAAATTAGATTCACTTCACCATAATTTTTTATTAGACCTATTATAGATTATTATGCTTGTTAAGAAAAACATATATTAGAGCAACATAGAAACTTTATGCAACTCATGGCTGTAAGGTGTTTGGTATCATCAGTACATGACCACCAAAAAATATCTTGAGTGGTCCATATTGCACAAACAACCACAAAGAGTCAAAGGTTCTGCAACTACTCCAAGATATTTGGGATACTCGAACAGTGTCTAACATGGATCTTCATCCCATAATTTCTTCCTCCTCTCTGCGCACAAGGGCAATCATCATAGCTTCTAGTGAGATTTCATCATGGCACCCACGAAACAACATTATTTTCTTCAAACCCAAGGTGGGATTTGGTGCCGGCAAGTGCCTGATTCTTCCCTCTTCCGGCAGCTTATTCCGACAAGGGTGGCAATCACGTGGCTGGGAAACTGCAGCAAGAAAGGAAACGAGGTGCATCGAGAAGCTAAGCCAAGAGCCTAACAAAATCTCCAAGAAACAGGGAACAGTTGCTGGTGCAGTTGCTTTGATTGTTGGCACCAGTATTGGTTCTGGCATTCTTGCTCTCCCCAAGAAAACTTCCCCTGCGGTAATCAAAGCATGATTTAGACATGGTTAAATATACCCAATCTCTTCCCTCGCCCCATACCCCATCCCAGATAAATCACGGTAACTTAGCAGCCCATTAGGTGGGAAGATTAGTGCATGGTGCTGGTGTAACTCTCACGCTACAGTTGTCAAGACTCGATCATGTGTTCTTGCTCATAATCTATCACCTAAGAACCAACTGAGCTGCCCGTGATGGCTACCCAATTTCATTATTGAATGGGGAATTTATAACTTTTGTTAAACAAATTAAAAAGTTGAGTCTTTTGTGTTGCAGGGGTTGGTTCCTAGTTCAGTAGCTATGACAATGTGCTGGGCATTTTTGTTAATAGAAGCACTTGTACTGGTTGAAGTCAATGTGGGGTTGTTGAAAAGGAAGAAATCAAGAAGGGAAGGAGATGAGTTGGAGATCATCTCCATCAGAACTATGGCTCAAGAGACATTAGGAGAATGGGGTGGAGTGCTGGCTACCTTAACTTACGTGTTCTTGGGGTATACTTCTATGGTTGCTTACGCTGCCAAGTCGGGCGAGATCCTTTGCAGTTTGATCAATCTTCCAGAATCTGTTTGCGGCATTGTCTTCACTGCCACCTTCGCAGTTCTGATTTCTGTGGGCGGGACTAAAGCAACTGATCAAGTCAACCAATGGCTCACTGCATCCATGATAGGTACATTAGATTGCAACAATCTGATTGCTTCCAAGAATAAAATGTGAATGTTGAATGCTAATGAATGAAGCCATTGATGAACACAAACAGGCCTGCTCCTTGCAATTGAGATTCTAGCAGCTGTGTTTGGAGGGTGGTCGGGAGTGGAGGGAAGCGGGGGCAACTGGGAAAGAGTTCCAGCCGCTATCCCAGTGCTGATATTTTCTTTGGTCTACCATGATCTGGCCCCGGGTGAGTGGTGAATACCTTGTTTATATTTTTACATACTGCACTAGTATCTGCATCCACGCGACAAGACAAGCCATATTCGGGGGCAACTCTCCCGAGAGTGTTACTACTTACTACCCCGTTTACAAGTTCTAAGCCTTTGCTCTGCAGTTCTGTGTGCATATTTGGGCGGCGACCTGAGACAAATAAGAGCATCAGTTTTGATTGGTAGCTTTATTACATTCCTGCCATTGCTTGTTTGGAATGCAATTGCACTTGGCCTCTCAGCTCAGGTTGATCAATCTGTTGACCCTCTTGAACTGCTTCTCAGGTCACATCCTCAACTCTCGAATACATTACACTATGCTTCCTTTCACCTAAACATAGCATTACACACCATATTTTGATAATGCAGTGTAAAATGGAGTGGGGTTTCATATATGGTAGAGGCCTTCTCACTTCTAGCTATAGGAACATCAATCATCGGTACTCTCCTGAGTTTCTCCGAGTTTTTCAAAGAGCAACTCAGTAAATTCTTGTTGCATTCCGGACCATTTGTAAATGAGGTAAGTTCTCTATCTCAGAATAAGAACAGAAAATGGTAAACACCTGACTGTTTTTTTTTCCCAGCAGAAACCAAATTTAAATTCTGGGCAAAGGAAATTGTGGGGAAGAAATACCATAAGCTTCACCGCGACAGCAATGGTGATTGCCCCCTCTCTTCTCCTGTCAACAACAGTTCCAGATGCTTTTTATGCTGCTACAGATATAGCAGTAAGTTAAATCTTTTTCCATAATGCAAGTGAAGATTATAGCTAGCTATGAGACAAATAATGACAGGATAATGAAACAGGGAGGTTACGGCATGACAATGCTGTATGGAGTTCTTCCCCCAGCAATGGCTTGGGCTATGCACAACAGAGGAGATAAAGACATTGATAAAGGAGCAATATCAAGAGCAAAGCCTGCACTTATCTGTGTATGCTTGATTGCTTCTTGTATAGTATTAGAGCAGATTATTGCAGATCTCTCACTGCTGCACTTGTAAGAAACAATTTTTCTACAATATAATGAAATATGGCGCTCATGGTTACAAATGTATCATGAATCTCCTGAAACTAACTATGAAGATTAGAGGAACAGTAAAATTTACCAGAACCTTGCATACAACCATATCTATTTGAGGTTACTCTAGTGTTAGAGCATGTATGATTACTTGGACAGGAAACTAAACAGAGTGACAAATAGATATATATAAATAAGTAATAACACTCGCATTCTCATCGGGGTTTACAACAGTCAATGCTACTTGAGGGTAATCCAATATGGAAGATAATACAGTTCATATTGCACCTAAATACAGACCCCTGGTACAAAAGCACAGTATTTAACTGCTTTATTCAATCAGGACCATGAGAAACCAATAGAGATGATAAAAATACAAAATAAGTTGAGAGTTGGCCAAACCCCAGACTCCAAACAGAAGAAAGGAAATGGCTAAGAGAATACTCAGCTTCACACTCATCCAACACAGATCTTAGTTCTTCACTGTGGTAACATGCCTTAGAAGCATGTGGGCAACATCATGAGAAATTCTTGCAGCTTCTGTCTTCAAATGATCAATCTTGGCTTCGGTCTCTGCCTCTAGTCGCTTGACATTAGCACCTGAGTCACCACTACTCTGTTCAACAAAGGCCACTTGTTATAGAACTTTGGCTATATTTCAGGTTTCACACATGACGTACAAGTCAAGAGAAGTGTAAAATATCTTTCTTTTTTATGGGAAATAGACTGCACACAACACAGGTGCTCTTGATGATTCACAAAATGAAATTGAGCCATGATTGGCATATTTCAGATTTGGACTCAGTTAATTTTACCAAGAAATTCAACTGTGTGGTTCTATTATATATGGATTTTATTATTAATTTTCTATATACCTGTGCAAGCTTTTTCTGATACTCAGCTTCCATATGGGCACGAAAAGCAGCTATCTCCTTCTCAGCTTCTTCTTTTGCCTGTTTCAATCTAGCCTGTTTTGCTGCAAATGGAAACAAGAAGGTTTACTCATTTCACCCCAATCTTGAATCACAGAATGAAACATTGTAAAAAGAAAGTAGAAAAGACCATAGCAAAAAGTCATGTTGTTACTATATGTTCAGAACAATATAGGTATACATGTCATGTAAATATGTAATTATACAGCAAAGCATGTTCTACAGCATAACTTCTATAAACTGTAAATTCATGCATTACAACAATAATCAAGTACTTCAAGCACCAATATGCACAACAGAAGGCACCCTAAATTTTTTTTTTAGAGAAGTTGGATGCATCTTTCACCAAATCCTCCAAGTTAGGAGAGCCTTGGCCCTTGGTCCAGCCTTTTAATTGTACTAAAGTAATTGCAAACATTTAATTTTCATGGAAATGATCAATCTTGTAAAGTTACACTAGAAAAGATCACCTATTTCAAGTCATAAAACAAGAAAAAAACAAGAAACTACCTTACAGAGTTACAGAAGTTTTAAAATAAGTCCAATTGAAAATTCATTAGCAAACTAAAGTTCCAAAAGGACAAAAGAACTTACCACTCTTTGCAGCATTGACAATGTGCTGTGCTTCTTGCTCAGCAGCTAAGAGAAGTTGAATTCCACCTTGGCCCCTGTTAGAGTCCATACTGGAAAAGATTTTTGTAGCTGCAACAGAGTGTATTTGAAGAGCAGTGAGCACTAAACTGATAATTGAGAACAGGAACAATTATTCACATTACTTAATAATGGTTTGAAGATTTTTATCAAAGGACCAGCACTAAACTTTTAAGGAATATGAATCAACAAAAAATGATAAATCCTTATGAATTAAGCCAAAGTTAAAAACATAATGAGCTTCTACTTTATCCCATACTGTATACTCCCAAACGCAAATAGACAAAACATCTGATGCAAAATAGTCAAATCAGCAATCGGTTTGCACAACTTATACTTTTATTAGTCAAAGATCCATCATTTTGAGCTTGTATTTGGGCACTTAGATTTAGAGCTCAAAAACGTTTCTTTTATGTTTAAGCCAAAGATCAAATAAAGTGCTGTTAGTATTGTGATAGACAAGAAGAGATCATTCGATGACAGATGAGAATTAGTGAATTACTATAACACCGTCATCTTACATCTCAATACATCTACACCACAGAATCCCAACTCTAAACTTCAATCTGGATCACAATAATGTCCACCCTAATTTCATTTAAAAATCAAATTCCCATATACCTCTTTTGCTAAAAGATCTCAACTTTTGCAAACCAACAAATCTACCCTTCTTTTTTTTTTTTTTTTTTTTAATTGGGAACTAGTTAACAAGTAGCCTAATCTGAAACGCTTTGCACGAGTAATTGAGTTGATCAACAACGAAAGATGGAAGAAAACCCAGTGGCAGAAACAGATCAAGACATGTTCAACGACAATCCATCCCAGATCCATTGTATTCCAGTCCAAATAAAGCCAGAGGGAGGGGAAAAGGAGATGCGGAGTGAGGAAGTCATAGCAGAAGATAATAGGGATACGACGGAGAAAAAAGTATTGCGGAGAGAAGAAGATGGACGATACCTGAAGAATAGGAGTTTGCTCGTGAATGGATTCACCGAAGAAAACTGACCCCAACTTTCAACTACAAACGAAACTGTTTCGACCTTTTTGAGACTTATATAACCACTGCCTCTGCTGAACCCTGCCCCCTTTCTAGTTTCTACTAGAGCTGGACATCAACTCGTTTTTATTTATTTATTTAAATAAAAATTAAACATATACTCGGATTTTATTTGTTACGGAGTATTTTTTTTTTTTTTGGATTTAATATACCACTAAATGTCTAAATCTAACACGTTGGATGGGCTGAAAGCCCTATCATAAGTCAATTAAAGCGCCTTTTTTTTTTTTTAAGTACTATTGACCTATTACAAGGTAGTATTTGTCTAAAAAGTCAATTCCTCATCAACTGAAATTCCATCCTGAGAAGGTCTTTTTTATTTAGTATACATAACATTTGCATTTTACATCATTTTCTCTCTTTCTTCTTTTTTTCGATAACAAAAATTCCTGCAATCAAAACACTGTTCCTTTATAATAACTCAAAAGAGGTAAACCTCTGCTAGAAGACTTCGTGCAATGAGACCAAAAGGGTGTTAATAAGAATCAAATTCGTAACCTTTAGGCATAAATATATTGTTACACCCACTTAGCCACCCCATCATCTTTTCATCTTATACATTATATATATATATATATATTAGATGTACAATCTAGGCATTAATTCTAATTTTTAGGTGTGCAAGCCACAGCATCAGCCAACTCTTTCTTGATTAATCTTACAATGTCAGAGACCTGCACAGGTAGCAAATACCATGTTCAGTTTCACTAATTTCTCTCTTATTGTGAATCAAAAATGAAATATTTTCATTAATGAATATCTTAGTTTTGGCAAACCTCGAATTGGCATGACAAAGCTGATGAATTTTTGCTCAATACCAGGTATATTTTCTCAAGAATTTCCAGAAGAGCATTCACCTGATCCCCTAGTAAATCAACCTGTACAAACAAAAATAGTTCCAAAAAAGCACGTAATTTAATGTTAACTCATTGCCAAATCTATGCTTAACAACATAAGTGGACATTAATCTTGTTTTCAAGCAACCTCAGTTTCTGCTAAATGCAGGTTCTGACACCTTGTTATGAATGCCTTCTTGTACAGTTGTTTCCTTTTCCTCAATGAGGCAACAGGATGAACTAACTCGTGTAATTGCTGCTTCAGTTCCTCTATCCTGGGAAGACAGGCTTCTATTATAAAATTTTCACTTGTTGCATGTAGTCAACCCTGTTTGTATAAAGTTTTGAGTGAGAAGTTGAATACCTAAGGCATTTCTTCTCTAAGCTACCAATTATCATGTCCTCAAAATCACTCAGGACTTGCTGAAATCTTCTGAGAGATGAGAAGGCGTTATCAGACTGATTGGGCTTCTCTGATCTATTGTCACCATCTAGTTGGCAGGAAGGCTGCATGTTTTCATCACCTTCAATCACAACAGTCGCATTATTATTATCTTCACCATTGTCATCAGGGTATAGGCCTAAACCTCGCTCCAAATCCATCAACAGTTCCTTGCTCGTGATCAGCTGTTTGAGTGCTTTGGCTAACTTTATATTCACTGAACTCAAAATGCTTTCATTAGCATCCAATAGCCATTGGATGGCCTCTCGCTCATCCCGCTCTTCAGTTCTGAAGATTTCCAGGTAATGGTTGACACTGTGCTGCTCAATCTCAGAACTTGCACTCAAAACTAGATCTTCTTCCAATTCAAGACACTTGAACACAGAATCCAGAACTTGGATCAAAGTTTCCTCCCCTTCAATGCCCCAGTTCCTAGCAGAAGAGGGAATATCTTCTGAAGTACTCAAACGGCCTTGCCCTTCAGCTTCTTTTGAAAGGAAAATGACATCTTTCACAGCCTCAGTTATGACCAAGTTGTGTATATCCTCCCTGATGAGATTTTCAATTTCATATGCATCCTTTTCCTGTTTCAGCAAATTGATCATTTCAGTCATAAAAACCTTAAGGATATCCTCCCTTAGTATGTATTCCAAGATTTTAGTTTCGTCTCCAGACCTGTCAGGTTGGTTTCCTGCTGCTCGGTCTTCATTCTTGTCAGTGAAATCCATTGAGGACAATCTGTTAGCATGGTTCCTAATCTGGCTGCCATAGCTACTTACCTTTGCATTGAAATCTTTCACCAGACCTTGACAAAGGAGCAGGTAAACCTGTTCCATCATTGAATTTTGCAGACAAGAATCTTCTGCCTCCCCTTTTAATCTTCTTATCTCATCTTTTAATTCTTCAACATAATGGCTCCCCATATGTTCTTCACCTCCCAAGAGAGAATTTGGTTTCTTTTGAAAAGGTTCCAAAACTTGAACATCATTCTCATCAACCAATCCATGACTCCAACTAATTAGACGGTCTAATCTTGAGGTACATTCTTGCATCCTTCTTTCCAAACTGTCAGATTCTCTTTTCCTTTTGAGCAATGAAGATCCCTTCCCCAGGGGTTTCTCCCCTGTTGACCAACTCAAATCTTTGTGTTGCTTCCTTATTATGGCCTCATGACTCTTAATCATCTCAGCAATATAATGACTTCCGGTAGTTTTTTTATCCTCACCAGGCTCATAACAAGTAAATTCTGGCAAAGGATCACTAACAGATGTACATATATTTGTGAGTGGACCTAAACCATCATTCTTGTCCAACGTTCCCAGTTTGAAACTATCTCTACTGGAAAAGGCATCCAGTTCCTCACGCAACATTGTCATTTGCATAATGAGTTCAGTCCATTTATCATCTGTGAAGCCAAATTGAATATTGCTTTTTCTCTCCCTAAGGTTTGCATTGAATTTTTGTTGGATATCATCTACGAAGCCCTTAATCAGGACCGATAGCACTTTTGTCTCAATGGTGTGCCTCCATTGCTTCTCCAGGATAGGCACCTTAGTACTATGCACTTTACCGAATGTGAAATCCAATGTTCTCTTTAAAATGTCTGAATCAGAAGTCATCTGCTGAATGATTTTGTTTCCTTCGGGCATTAAAGCATCAGTCATTGGCTTGAATCCAAAAAAATTGTGACCTTGACAATAGAACTCATCTTCACTGGATTTCGTGGCTTTGGATTTCTCAAGATCAGCATCCTCCAGGTCCAGTGAATATTTCAATTCAGTGATTTCACCTTCTTGCATTGCCTCGTTGCTGAGAGGACAATCCACATCACCCTGTCTTCTTTCAAGCTTCACCTTCTCATGAAGTAAAGCTAACTCCTTTTCTTTCATTTCCATGATCTTTCTAAGCTTTATCTCATTCTCAAACCTATCCATCAATTCCTTATTTTTCTCAATAATGAACATCTGCATTACCTCAACCCGTCCATATAGCCATTGCCTCATCTCCTCAAGGTCTGAGAGGATCTTTTTGCGCCTTCTCACAGGAATCTCTCCCTCTTCTTGAACAATACTGAATCCACCATCCACCAAAATGGCAGCAAGCTCATAGAATTTAGAACTCCCGTTAAGGAACTTGATTGGCCCATCTTTGGGCTGGACTTTCTCGAGTGCAATATCCATGGCAGATCTCAAAACTTTCATCAGTATTGGATCACACTTTGATCTGCAATCTATTCCATCAAAACAATCGTCCATTTTTGTCTCTCTTAAAATGAGTGTTTCTAGATATTCATAAATGCAGCATTAGATTTAACAGAAATTGCAGTCAGACATAGGAGGTTATACAGATGGCATGAATTTCTGACATTCTGTTAAAAACAGTTAACTCCTAAGATTATGTTGTGATGCATCAAATAGATTGAGATTTAGAGATAACATGTAGTCCAAGTATTTAAAAAAATAAAAACTAGATTATTTTATAATAAAAGTCTCAAATGAGGTCAAATAACAACTCAACGTCCAATTAGGAATGCTAGTATATAGGTTTCAAGGGGTATATAGGCTTCAAGGGGTAATAAGAAATTCGCATTTAAATCGCACGGTTCCATTCCCGGCCACGTACCGAATATTGCCCATCTACTCCGGCACCGCTCCGCCGTCTTCTGCAGACTTTTGGTTGGTTGCGCGTTCAGCTCTAGTTGTGAGCCACACCACGACGTCACCGAATACGCGATCGACATCCTCCTCCGGCTCACCCACCAGTTGGTGCCACATGCCCGGATAAATGTTCAGAGTCTTATCCTTGCTCGCCGCGCGTCTGTACAGCTCCTCCGCGCAGGCCGGATCGCAGACGACGTCGTCACCGCCGTGGATAATCAGAAACGGCACTTTCACTTCCTCAAACTTTCCCTGCAATTCTCTGCACACCCTCAACAATTCACGCGCAGTCGCAGCTCGTGGCTTCGCTACAGGCCTCCTCGGGCTTGCTATCGCTAGCTTCCTCTTCCATTCCTCCTTCATTCACCACAATTTCATTTCAAAATTACAGAGTGAGTTGGTGACTTAGCCTTTAGGATTTTATTGAAGGCAAGAAGAAGAATTCGGAAACAACGCAAAATTATTTTTTAAAAAAATGAGGAAAGTCACTGAATTAGTCACGGTTTTATCGTCCAGAGTGAAATTGAGAATATCTGACCTTGAAAGAGACGCCAAGCAAAGAACCGCGCGTGGGAACCACTTGCCAGGTGGGGACAAGGAAGGCGGCAATGTCAAGCAAATGCTCTAACGGCCATGGCGGCTTGACCTTATCGCTGATGCCACACATTGCTCCGTTCAGAACGACGCCATCGAAAGACCGTTTTGGGGCGGAGTCACCGCTACGGAGAGTGATTAGGAGAGCAATTGCACCGCCGAGAGACTCGGCGTAGAGGAAAGTCGGCAGGTAAGACGGCACGTGGCTGTCGAGGAAGGAGTCGAAGAAAGAGATACAGTCGTCGACGACAGGATTGATGTCCGGTATGTGAGCCACGAGGCCGTCGGAGAAGCCGTGGCCCTGGTGATCGATGGCGCAAACGGCGAATCCATGCTTGGCTATGTGAACAGCGGTGAGCTGCACGAACCAGCTGGACTCGCCGGTGAAGCCGTGGACGGCGCAGACTGCACCTATGAGCTTGGTGGGAGGTAGCGGGGTCCACCACTGAGTGAAGAGCTTGAGGCCGCGGGAATTGGTGATGAACTCGGAACCGTGGGACACAGAATGGCGGGAATAGAACTCGTCGGCACTCAGGGAGCCAAACGGGCTCTCCTCGTTCGCATCCGCCACCGGATGCTTCATCTCCCTTTGCTCTCTGGTTTGGATATCTGCTCAGAAGTCAGAAGACAGGCTTATCTGCTGAAGAGAGTGACAGTTTATCGGATTCATTTATTGGCCGTCAATTCGGATTTTTTCTGAACAGTGAAAACTTTAACGATAAACACTGTATTGCTTTCACCTTTCAAGGTCAAAATGTGACCAAAATTATTTGTAAATTATTAAATTTAGAAAAATGTCATATACTTACATCTTACAAGAATAGAATCCGACTTTGCAGTTGATTAGCAACAAGCTGCTAAGATAAATTTCGCTATATTTTAATTAATACATTTCAAAATACTCTGTATATCACAACAGTTAAAATATAATAATAATCCGGAATGAAGGTGAAAACAGTGCAAACTCATACTCAACACACACCGAGAGGTAAGAGACGTACTGCAGAAAGTTTCTGTTATAACAACCAACCAACCAACCTTTTGACAAACACTATTTGCATGAAGATAGTTTTCTGTTTTACACGGTAAATGGAAAAACAATTGAGAGACTTAACAGAATGCGCTTTTATGATCAATGACACGTTCTTCTGTACATCACTACAACTATTTATTGCACGATTGGATGCTCTTGCTTTAGCTTCATCAGTCCTCTTCTTCGGCAACACAGGCTGAAATATTGATAAAGGCAATTAACTGATGATAATTTAAAGGGATAAAATGCAATGTGTATGAGGTATGCGTTGAATTTGATTCTGGGGAGAAATATACTCAGCTCAAAAAAAAGATGCATGCAAAGAGTTAATTTGGTATTTGAGTCCATGAACTGCCCATATAATCTAACCACAATGTCATTTTATAAGCCGTTTCTTAAATCCCTTTCAAGCAGTGCAAGTTGCAACATACTATACTCCATTACTTTTTTTGAGAGAGCAAAAATACAAGAGAAGAAGTGAAAGATTAAAAAGCTGGATGAATTCATTGATTTAGGGTTCAAAGAAAAAGTTGATGATACTTAATATTGTTGGTAGATATAATTGTTAAAACAAGATTGGCGTAGTCATAAACAAACAATTCTGCAACCAGCTCAAGCAATAGGAACCTAAGTATGTGGAAAGTTAAAGAGACTAAGACAATGCCTCACTTGCTCGACCGAAGGTAATTGCTTGTACTATAAAGGTGACAGCTATTAAAACACAAAGGCATTGTTGGTAAAATAATTAGTCTATAAACCAATTTTGACTTGTTTGACCACTATTAGCTGTTTAACTTGGCTAAAGAACTAATATGAGTGTTTGATTAATTAGTTATTTGTAACAGCTTATTGTTCCAAAACACTAAAATTCAAAAAACTACTCAAAACAACTTTTTCAATAAGCTTTTTGAAAAAGTCATTTTGTATGTAATCAGCTATCAGCTAATTTACCAAACATCTTTCTACAATCGGCTAATTCTATCAACTAGTCAAACCCGCTAACCCAATCAGCTAACAGCTATTTACCAAACACCCCCAAAGAATTCCTGGAGTTGTGGTAGTAGTGTAGTTTCATTTGTGTGTGTTAGGACACACAAGAATTTTCATCACTTGTAAATCTGTTGCACTACTAGCTTGTTTTTCATGTATTCATGATTATATGCTCCACAAAGGAAGAAATACTCGTGATAGGAGCATCAAGAGAAACACTTGAGCAAAATCTTCTAGGAGTTTGGGATCAAAATAACTATTCTGTACTTCGCAATGACACTATGATCAGCCTCAATAGTTCAAACCAGAAGCTGCAGATACCGGTAAGTAGATGTACATGAAAAAGGAAACTAGCTGAAGGTGATCTATTAACAAATGGTTAGTTGGTTACAAAACCCTAGATGATCTACCTGCTTCATTGATTAAATATTTTGCACAGATGCATTATTCTTAAATCTCTTCCCGAGCTTCGATCTGTGAATGTTTGGCATAACTCCTTGAAGTTCATTGACAGACACTTAGGATGAATTTACAGTACTAAATTATGACTTTTTCCTGGTGCTTATGAGTGCTACTTTGGGCTCCTAACAGATTGCAAACACCTTCCGTCTAATCATTTGATCTGCAAAGCTTGTCTACCTAATAAGGGAACCAAATTTACGCTAGTTCGGCAGGCTGCTAAAAGGACTATGAGATAATTTTATTACGGAGTACATCATAATTGTTAAGAAGATAGACAGTTTGCAGAACTCTTAAGTTATCAGCAAAATTCAAAATGGAGAAAACTGGCTACCGAACACTTTGAATCAACATGTATATCCATCTAGAAAAAGCACACAATTAAAGAGGTTTCTAAATGACAGCAATTGATGAAATGAACAGTACTCCGTGGCATTCAATCTAACCCAGCGCGGAATCTCCAATACCAAAATGGAACGAAAATTAAGAGCAATGAGCAAGAATTGTACCTCCGCAACAGAAACAGCAGTAGCAGCAAGAAAGGACCATGAGCAAGTCTCTACAAAGCACGAGAAATCGCCCTCCTCCTTTACCGGAAACCTTTGAATTATCAGATTGAGTATCGCTATTATCATCGTCCAAAAGCTTTTGCTGGTTGCTGCTACTTTCGCTGCTTTGAGATTCTCGCCGCTGCTTCTCAGACGTCTCCATTCTGTGGAGGTTCCATTCGAGTTTCTTCAAGTAATTGAGCTTGAAGGAATCCCTCAATCTCATAGACGGCCATAGATGCATCTCTTTAACTTTCTCTCTCAATTTCAGCTACGATATACAGCGCACTCAAAACGAGATTGGGAGTAGAATAAAATATCAATAAAAGGCCCTTCCAATAATTACTTTTCACAATTTAATTATTTTCTTGATTTTTTTTTTAATAATACTGACTCTGGCCCTGTTTGGTAAAAAATTAGTCTATAGGCTAATTTTGGCCTATTTGACCACTATTAATAGTTTGATTTAGTTAAAATGTCAATATAAATATTTGGTTAATTAGCTTTTTATAACTCCAAAAGGCTAAAATTCAAAAAGCTACTTCAAACAACTTTTTCAATTAGCCTTTTAATAAAAGAAATTATACCAAACAGCTATCAGCTAACAGCTAATTTACCAAACACTTTTTTACAATCAGCTAATGTTATCAACTATTTATACCCTCTAATTAACACAATCAGCTAACTGCTAACAGCTATCAGCTAATAGTCATTTCACTATATTACAATATAATATATATATAGTGAATTTGTGCCACTAGATCAAGGTCATTGATATCTTAATCATTTTCTTAATTTATAATAAATAACTCAATTTGTGAATTCTTCCCATCTTTTCACCGTTCAATTATTATTATCTTAATAACTCTTTTATATATCTTTTATAATTATAAGGGAAGTGACATTAAACTTACCAAAAGGTTTATAAAACTTAAAATTAAAATGATAAATTTATAATTTTATCATGTACAAAGTATTTTTTTTTTTTTTTTTGTAACCAACAATAAAATATATTAAGAAGTAACGTAACCATAAACGCGTAATATATACAATTAGAAGGATAATCTAGCCAAAATGAGAAACTAGAATAAGAACTAACATCTATAACAAGGGAGTGATAATTTTACCATGGACTTCTTATTTCCTCACATCCCTCCAAAGCATTCGCATTCTAATTCTTATCTTCCAACAAGTACACCTCAAAGAACAAGGTCATCAATGCCAACATAGAAACTACTTTAATTAAAATTAACGCACATGTTTGAATCTTGAAGAGAATACGAATCCATCAATTGTCTAACATATTAGTTATCTTTATGATAATGTGTCTCTTTATTTTTCACCTTAGCAACTCCAACAAAGTTGATCGGAATATTAACTTGATAATTATAAGGTTACAAATTTGACTCCCAAATGAATCTGATTATTTATATTACTGGTAAAACGTATTTTAAATTCAATTAAACCTAAATCATACCCATTCTAAACCCATTGAAGATAAATTAATTAACAAATAAAATAAATAGATCACTTGCTAAGGTATACATAATTTCATATATATTATAATATTTCGAACTGCACCTATAACTCAGACGTTATGCCATGGAACCGTGTTCACCCTTCATGGTGAACACGGTTCTAACGGTGTTAGTACACCGTTATCTTTTTTTTTTTTTTTTTCTTTTTTAAATTAATTGCGTGACTTTTCTTCTTTATTTTCACATTTTGCGATTTCACTTTAATTCGAGGTGAACAAAGATTTCGGACATTCATAAATTATGAATTCATGCCTGCATATTCACTTTGGAACCATGCCTACACATTCCCGTCCGAAATCACGGACATTCATAAATTATGAATCCATGGCTGCACATTCACTTTGGAACCATGCCTACACATTCACTTTGGAACCATGAGATTATGAATTTTCTGTTATAAGATTATGAATTTTCTGTTATTAGATTATGAATTTTCAGTTATGAGATTATGAATTTTCTGTTATGCGATTATGAATTTTCTGTTATGAGATTATGAATTTTCATTACATTCATAATTTCGGACATTCATAAATTATGAATTCATGCCTGCACATTCACTTTGGAACCATGCCTACATATTCCCGTCCGAAATCACGGACATTCATAAATTATGAATCCATGCCTGCACATTCACTTTGGAACCATGCCTACACATTCACTTTGGAACCATGAGATTATGAATTTTCTGTTATAAGATTATGAATTTTCTGTTATGAGATTATGAATTTTCAGTTGTGAGATTATGAATTTTCTGTTATGCGATTATGAATTTTCTGTTATGCGATTATGAATTTTCATAAAATTCATAATCTCATAACAGAAAATTCATAATTTGATCAAACGCGCGCCGTTAACTCCACATCCGCAAATTTTTTTTTTTTGGCCTAAAAACGACGTCGTTTTGCCTTGTGTTCACCATTCTCGGTGAACATGATTCCATGGCATAATTTGCGCCTATAACTCTTACCAAAGTTAATATTATTAAGTTGGGTCAACGAGCATTTTTTGAGCATATAATGTGTAATTCAACTATTAGATTAGACTTTTAGTTGAGGCGAAACATATGCTTTGGAGCCCATCAAATTAAAAGTAATTGAGCACATAATGTGCAATTCAACTAAAAAAAGAGACTACGATCCAGCCCATCAACTGTAATTGAGCATATATTGTGCAAGAGTAAATACCCAAAATGGTCCCTCGACTATAGTTAAATTCACAAATTGGTCCTCGACTTTTAATTTCAACCAATTAAGTCCTTAACTTTACAATTTTAACACAATTTGGTCCTTTGTCTATTTGACCGTTTGTTGACTGCGCTTTTTTAGGATATATATGTAATTTCATGGTCCATCGTCGGTTTTTTAAGGTTCCGGTTGCATTTCTAGACCGCACTGTTATATTTGAATCCACTGCCGGCGCTGCACCCCATGCCGGAGAGATTATAGCTTTTGATAGATAGATCGCCGAAGTCCCTGGAGTGGCTCTTCGAGAAAGTCGTGACTCCAAGCGATGTAGGCAAGCTGAACCGGCTCGGGATCCCCAAGCAGCAAGCGGAGAAGCAATTCCCCCTCCGAAACAACGATGTCACCTCCAAGAGCGTTCTCTTGAGCTTTGCACGTGAAACTACATATATATCCTCAAAGATCGCGGTCAACAAACGGTCAAATAGATGGAGGACCAAATTATGTCAAAATTGCAAAGTTAAGGACTTAATTGGTTGAAATTGAAAATCGATGACCAATTTGTGAATTTAGTTATAGTCGAGGAACCAAGTAACTTGTGCTCATATGGCATATAATGACTCTCTCATATGGAAAGTCATGAGATCGAGTCTCAGTGGAGGCGATATTGATTATATGTGCTTCAACATGTTGAGAAAGTATAGATGAATATAACTTAAAAAAAAAAAAATGCTACAATACGAATTTTACAAGAAGTGTATTTTTAGTAGAGTTTGTTGAGTAAAAAAAAATAAAATTAGAAGAAAAACCCCATTTTACTTGGGGCAATACACGTAATAATTAATTATACGTTTTCAGTTTGTGAAATTTAGGCAACAGAGCAATTTTCGATTCTTCCCACGTTTGAGCAAAGATGATGCATTGTCTTATATATGGTTTCCAACACGGGAAAAGAGAAAAGGAAATCCAAATTGTTGAAGAAAGAAACGACATTGAAATATGAATTCCTCCTGGTCAACATGCTAGGAAGAAGATATCGAGATGTCGTGGCTTTCAAGTCCAAAATCAGGGTCCGGGAGCCCGTCGGGAAGGCGGCTCGGTGGGAATGGATTGGTCGCCGTGGCCATCGACAAAGACAAAACAAGCCAATATGCCATCAAATGGACGACCGAAAATCTGTTGTCTAAAGGCCAATCTGTCGTCCTCGTCCATGTTGACAACCAAACGCAAACCTCGTTGCAGCACAAACAACAACTGGAAGCTCAAAATAAAGACTTGTTCGTCACTTTCCATTGCTTCTGCACACGTAAGAATGTAAGTTTTAATTTCCTGGCCGGCCTGTAATGTCGTCGTATATATATGTTTCCGTATCTTACGAATTACCTCGATCGATCTGATGATGTATGTGTCTTAATCTTCATGCGTGCCCAACTGCAGATACATTGCCTCGACATTTTAATCGACGGCACCGATATAGCCAAGGCGTTAACGGATTACGTCTCCGACGCCGCAATCGAGAATCTGGTTCTTGGTTCATCCCGGCACTCCTTTCTCAAGTTAACTCCAGGATCCTTAAATGTTTTTCTTCTTTTACTATGATTTATAATGCCCTTTGCAGCATTATATTGGTGATTAGCATCCTTAATTAGCTTAATTGTCGGATTTCGTGGTTGCAGAAGATTGAAGGTGACGGATATCCCAACGTTAACTTCAAAAGCGGCGCCGGATTTCTGCACTGTTTTTGTAATTTCGAAATCGAAAATTTCCTCCGTGAGAAATGCGACTCGTCCGGCTCCTTTTGCTTCGCCTCTTCACCCCCAATTACAGGAGATACAAGAACAGGCTCAGAACAATCCCGACATTCGCACCAAAAATGCTCCCAGCAGTCTACGATGTTAGTTTTCGGCTACTGCATACATTACTGGTCTCATAGAATTGAAGATTTTGTTGTCTTAATGTTGTAATGGCACCGTTTTCATCTGCTTTAATATTTGCAGCGTTTGATGAAAAGCATATGAGGTCTTTCAAGTTAGAGGAGAGTGAATCAGTTAGCAGGTAAATACCAGAAAATTTTGTGGGTACGGTGTTAATTAGTTACTTCTTGATCGACAAAAATACTAAAATGGAATGCATATATATATATATATATGCCGCAGGCCATCAATTGAAAGAGCTGCTACGAGAGGCATTCCCCCCAGGAGGATGCTTGGGGCGGAGACGGTGGAAGGAGATAGCGATCTGTCATTTGTGAGCTCCGGCAGCAGGCCAAGCGGTGATCGGATGTCGTCTTTTCTCAGTGAAACGGTGGAATCTGGAAGAACTCCACGCCTATCATCAAGCTCAGATGGTAGCTTTGGCTCTGGGCGTTTGGGAAAAGGAAATGATCTCAATTCCTTCACTGATTTTTCCTCCTCGTCTCTGGAAAATGTAAGACGATTACCTACAATTCCTTCGAGAGGAATTCAATGTTAATTAACTGATATGGGCCATTACAGGATGAAGCGGAAGTTGAAATGAGAAGGCTGAAGCTAGAGTTGCAGAAGACCATGGATTTGTACAGCACTGCTTGCAAAGAAGCACTCACTGCTAAGCAAAAGGTATATATAATATATGCAGATTGAATATTCTCATAGGAAATCGCGAAGCCCATTCGATTCCTTCATTTATGCAGACATCTGAGCTCCAACGGTGGAGGGTTGAAGAGGAAAGAAGGATAAATGAGGAAGAAGTGAATGAGAAATCTAAGAGCAGTGTGACCTCAGAGACCAAAAAGACAGGAGGGGGTGAAAACATGCCAGTGCCTGTAAGATATAGAAGATATACTATCGATGAAATCGAAGAAGCCACAGAACATTTCTCAGAATCTCGCAAGATTGGGGAAGGAGGATATGGCCCCGTGTTTAAATGCATTCTTGATCATACTGCCGTTGCTGTTAAGGTCTTGCGCCCTGATGCCGCCCAAGGAAGGGAACAGTTTCAGCAAGAGGTATGTATGTATTTTATGATCATCTTATTATCTTTTAAAGTTGGATTAATTTGATGTTGCCCGTACGTGACATAGGTTGAGATACTAAGTTGCATGAGACACCCTAACATGGTAATGCTTCTTGGAGCCTGCCCGGAGTATGGCTGTCTGGTGTATGAATATATGGCTCATGGCAGCGTGGATGACCGGCTGATGAACCGAGGAAACAAGCCTCCACTCTCATGGCAAGTGAGGTTTAGGATTGCAGCAGAGATGGGTACTGGCCTCTTGTTTCTGCACCAGAACAAACCGGACCCAATAGTGCATCGCGATCTCAAACCAGGCAACATTCTGTTAGATCAGTACTATGTGAGCAAGATTAGTGATGTTGGGTTATCGAGGCTGGTGCCACCATCAGTAGCTGAAGGTGTAACGCAGCTGAGAATGACCTCGGCTGCTGGGACCTTCTGCTACATAGACCCCGAGTACCAACAGACCGGAATGCTTGGGGTGAAGTCCGATGTTTATTCCTTTGGCATTGTGCTTCTCCAGTTGCTGACAGGCAAGGCAGCAATGGGCATATCTCACCACGTTGGTCGTGCCATCCGGAATGGAGCATTCTCGGAGATACTAGACCCCGTTGTTTCTGACTGGCCAGTTGAAGAGGCCCTGACCATGGCAAAATTGGCCCTCCAATGTGCAGAGCTCAGAAGAAAAGACAGACCAGATTTGGGCAAAGAAGTGTTGCCACAACTTGACAGATTGAAAGCTTTAGCAGATGATAGTATCAGTCATTCCTTGGTTAATGGCTGTGCAGTTTCCTCCCCCTGTCATAGTCCGGCTTATGCAACACAAGTAAGTCACTTTCTTTGCCAATCTCGAAAACGTTTTTGACAAAACTAATGCTCTTCAAATGTGCAGGAAGTATTAAGTAACTCACAACTATACTCAGAATTCAATAACCCATTGAGCCAATCAAGCTCTTCAATGTCAACAGCAGACCAATCAGGTCTATTTCAAGAAACTCACTGTCTTAGATAGATGTATTACATTTTGCTTTCCTTTTGCTCATTAGTTCTGCTCTCAATTCCCAGGTCCTGCCTGATTCAAATTCACCACATACAGCTTAGCTATTCACTGTGTTAGAGGAGAAGGAAGCTCAGGCTGGAATGCCATTGAAGCTTATTATATATATATATATATATATTCCCACAGATTGATTAGGATGTTAGTGTAAATCTCAGACAATTTTTTGAGGAACATTTCAGTAGAAGAAATCTACACTAATGTTTTGAACCAGTAAATACCTTTCATGTGAACAATAGGGAAATATTACACTGTGGATATTCTTTTGTATGTATGTATGATATAATGTATTCCTTTGTACATATAGTGAGAATGAGCATTGAACTTGGCTTATGCAACTTACAACTATACTGGCAATCCTTGATTTGTACTTTGACATCATTACATTGTTTAGCAGTTAAAATATGCCAGGATTGTGGTTTAATTAATAACCTAAATAATTATGGTACTTTTTTTTTTTTTTACCTATAAATTAGAGTTAAACAATAATGACAAATTCAACCGTTATACCTGCCACGTTTAATAAAACACTATTATGTCCTAAATTTATTTTCATTCTTTTTTGCTTTTCTAACAAATGATACAACTACTTTGGTCATTTAAATATGAGAGGATAATAGGGTATTTGGTAAATAATTGTTAGCTGGTTGAGTTAATGAGTTTTGACTAGTTGATAGCATTAGTTGATTGTAGAAAAGTGTTTGATAAATTAGCTGATGACTGATTACATACGAAATGACTTTCTCAAAAAGTTAATCGAAAAAAATTACTTTGAGCAGCTTTTTGAACTTTAACATTTTGAAACAATAAGTATTTTTTTTTTTTAGATCAGAGGGGCGGGGATACCCGGGGGCTCAAGAGCTTGAGGCAATAAGTTGTTAGAAAAAAAGTTAATTAATCAAATTGTTTAACCAAGTCAAATAACTAATAGCGGTCAAATAATATAAAATTAACTAATAAGCTAACTATGTTACCAAACATGGCCAATAACTATTAGTTTGACTAATTTTTATAACAAATTATTGTTTTTTCAAAATTGAAAATAATATGATATATTTGTAGTTTTTTAGGACTTATATCACTTTGTATTTTCAAATTACAAAATTTTTACATATAATATAATTATTCATTTGTTCTAAAATTTGGTATTAATTTTTTTGTTTGTTTAAATCGATCAAATAATTAATTTTAATTCTATGTTGAGCATATATAGGCCCTGTTTGGTAAAAATTGGCCTATAGGTCAATTTTGACTTATTTGACCACTATTAATTGTTTGATTTAGTTAAAATATCAATATAAATGTTTGGTTAATTAGCTTTTTGCAATTCCAAAAGGCTAAAATTCAAAAAGCTACTCCAAGCAACTTTTTCAATTAACTTTTTGATAAAAGAAATTATACCAAACAGCTATCAGCTAACAACTAATTTACCAAACACTTTTCTACAATCAGTTAATGTTATCAACTATTTATACCCTCTATTTAACACAATCAGCTAACATCTAACAGCTATCAGCTATCAGCTAACAGCTATTAACATAATATATAAATATAAATTTGGTATTAATTTTTTTTGTTTGTTCGCAAGACTAAGTTTACATGTACACACGTGACAATCAGTCCACTGGCATTCCAAAAAAAATATTACTGAATGGGGTAATTTTAGATCAAGTATCCAACAGGAAACGGTTCTCAATCTCCGGTCCATGTGAACCAGAGTCGACTCGCCGAGATCTAACATCTTCTCCACAGTAGCGATCAACCACCACGACTACTTCATATTCGGAGTTGATGAGCTCATGAGCAGACACCATCCGGTCACTGCATCCCTGCCCAGGTTCGTTCCATACTTCGTAGATTTTCTATTTCTGCAATTCAATTCATGTTCAGGAGAATGATATATTACCATAAAGGAAAACAATGAGCTGCTTGTTCTGATACTTTAATGGATGATAGCATTTGATTAAAGGAATTTTTAGTTTATTATTTAGAGTAGGGTAGTCTTTTTTTCCTGGATCTTTCTCGTTTTTCCTCTGCTAATTTGTTGATCCCCCAGCTTCTGCCAGTTAGATACGGCACCCTCTTTAGGAAAGGGCGCGGAAGTGGATTGCTTGTCTTTTGCAATCTGAATTGTGTTTCTGTTGAATAATCAATTACTTCATGATTTCTTCATAGGTTTTTGTAGTAGAATCTGCAAGCGTATAAGATGGCAGCTACGGACAAGCAGAATGCCTTGGATTACATCAACCAGATGTTCCCAACAGGTCACGCATTTTTATATTTGAGTAGAAATTTTGTTGTGTGCTCTATTTGTCTATGCTAATAAGCTTTTTGATGGAAGCTCACCATGATCAATTCAGTTGCATGTTTTGTGATATAACAAACTCTAAATAGAATTTATATGAGAAGAAAATAGCAGTATGCGATCCTTTGTAAGATTTTAAATCCACTATTGAAGTGCAAAATTTTTATTTGTATTTTAAAATATTTAATAAATATTTGTCAAGCAAAAATTTATCTGTTAGTATTCTATTTAGCTATTAGTCAGCCTTGTGTTCTCTAATGTTCTGCATGATTTTTCAACATTTGAGGATTAACACTGAAATAATTGAGCTTTACTTTCAGCAATATTGGTAAAATAATTTGCAGTGTTCCACTTAAAGACCAATTAACTTCTAGCTTGTCATCTTCAGTTGAGCAAATATGCTTATTTAAGCCAATGGTGTTATCAAGTTATTTGATATATGGAGCATTGTTGATGTGCAGAGGCATCTTTATCTGGTGTTGAGCCACTGATGCAGAAAGTACATAGTGAAATTCGTAGGGTGGATGCTGAGATATTGGCTGCTGTTCGTCAACAGGTTATTTCTCTTAAATCCCTCCTGCTGATTAGACTCTTTTTCTCTCTAGTTGATACTCCAGCTATTTTAGTCCCTCTCATTGATTACAAATTCCCCCCCTAGTGGTGATCTTCATGTTTGGTAAACTGGAAGGGGAAACACCTTTTGTTTCTTACCTTGTAACCAGCATAGGATCCTCCTTCTGCTCTTCTATTTCTTCACCTCTTGTTGCTCTGATTTTCACTGGAACCAATCAACATTAGACTTCCCATACTGACTTTGAGGTTAACAAATTATGTAGACAAGAGGCACTGCTCTTATTATTGTCTATTCTTAAACATTTCATTTTCCTTCATTATTTCCTTATTCCCAACATAAATTATTTTTGCTGAAGCTCATTTCCTGCAGAGTAATTCTGGATCCAAAGCCAGAGAGGATCTTGCTGCTGCTACACAAGCTGTGCAGGTATGTTCTTCAAATATAGTTTCTACCTTGCTCCATTGATGAAACGCCATTGCCTCAATCATAAAAGTTGCTCCGTATTAAATTAAAGTGTGGTCAATTCTTCCAAGATTACTGTCTGATAGTACCTTCATCTTTTCTGGCTCTTTCAATTGATTCAATTTGTTAACCGTTTCTTGAACCAGGAACTAATGTATAAGATTCGAGAAATTAAAACCAAAGCAGAGCAAAGTGAAACAATGGTCCAGGAAATATGTCGTGACATTAAGAAATTGGATTTTGCCAAGAAGCATATAACAACAACAATTACTGCGCTTCATCGTCTCACAATGCTAGGTTAGTGTCTTCTTTACTGCATAGTCAGGAGTGTCGGGGGTGTTCACTTCCATGCAATATTTTATAGTTTGGCAATGCAACACCCTGTTTGACATGGAATTCATATTGATTTCTATGTTGATTTACCTGAAGAAGATTCATGCTATTGTTGCTGGGTTTAAAGGACTGGAAAAATATAATTTCCTTTGATAATAGTTTGCTTTGATCATGTTCTGCTTCGCCTTGTATTGGAAGCTTGAAAGGATATTACTGAGGTTGGTGTAAACATGGCACAAAGGATGAACTGTAACTTTGTAAGTGTAAAAGGCCCCATATACTTTTCCCTGTCACTTCTTTTATTGAGGATACTGATATACCCTCTCAAAAGAAAAGTAGGCTGAACAATACTAGGCATGATTGCCTACTACGGGTCCTCCTAATTGGGAGACTAAATCTGATTCTCACTTATATAGAGTTTATTATGACCATGATTGTGGTTTTACATCTAAAATAGCAGGTTGGAAGTCTCTTTTGCTGTGTTGTAGCAATTGATTGGTCTATCTGGGTTGAGAGTAATTCTTGGATTCTTTTTTAGTACACATGCATGCCTTCTTTTATCAGGAAAAGAGTTAAAAGAAAACTCCTCTCCCCCAAATTCTCATTTTGATGTTTTTTTTTTTTTTTTTTTTTTGGTTGGATATTATGACAGTCTCTGCCGTTGAACAGCTTCAAGTAATGGCTTCAAAACGCCAATATAAAGAGGCAGCTGCACAGTTAGAGGTACTTTAGCAGTTGCTTCTCCAATTACTTTTTACAAATTTTTCCTTTGAAGCTAATAACTTTTCTATTCTATGATGCTCTCCCATTCAACAACTCATACCCATACTGATGTGTGGGCTTGCAATTTCATTTGATTACTTTGATTGCAATTAAACATTTAAACATCTAACAGAAATAAAACATTAATTATGAAACAGGAATAAAAAACACCACAAGATTAATGTAACATATTCAACCTTGTTATAATGAATTTCAGGCTGTGAATCAGCTGTGTAGTCATTTTGAAGCCTATAGGGACATTCCAAAGATCACAGAGCTAAGGGAGAAGTTCAAAAGCATCAAACAAGTCCTCAAGTCTCATGTGTTCTCTGACTTCTCCAGGTCTGTTATACTTGAACTTTGAGGATTGATCACTTGATCAGTGAAGAACCTAATTTGTGTGGTTCTGTAAAGATTGAACTATATTATGGAACAAGTTTGTTGAAAGTTTCCCTTTCTATTCACAAATTTGTCCAAAATCTTTAAATCTGGTTGAAGATGTATGAGTGTCCTTGTTAAATTCTAGGAGTGTTAAGAGACACAGACTCTTGAAAATCAGCTTGAAACTTCTTTCTTCCCCCTTTTCCCTTCTGAACTTGCTTATTAGTAAACTTTGGTCGCAGTTTCTTTTGCCTTATTTTCTTCATCCTCTTATAATTTTGTGTATGTATTGCTCCATAGTATTCTTTTCAATGTTTCCATGTCCTTAGTTTTTTCCTATTTATTTGTTTTGTTCCACCTGCAGCTTGGGAACAGGGAAGGAGACAGAAGAGAGTAATTTGCTGCAGCAATTATCAGATGCATGCTTAGTAGTTGACGCTCTTGAGCCATCTGTGAGAGAAGAACTGGTGAAAAATTTTTGCAGCAGGGAGCTTACCTCGTATCAACAAATTTTTGAAGGAGCTGGTTTGTCCAGTTTATAATGAATCATTTTATTATTCATTCAAATTGAATTAGCATTGATTGTTTATAAGGTTTAAATTGATATGCATGGTCTTGATAGCCTATTGCATGTGCAACATTATACAGAACTAGCAAAGTTAGACAAAACGGAAAGGCGATATGCTTGGATCAAGCGTCGTTTGAGAACAAATGAGGAGATCTGGAAAATTTTTCCCCCTTCGTGGCATGTTGATTATTTGCTTTGCATCCAGTTTTGCAAGTTGACAAGGTTTGGATATATTTATTGTAGAATGGAAAAGTTTTTCCTTTTTTTAGGGACATAAACATAAATTATTATGATGATTCTCTCTCCACTTCCTGTCCCCCTTTTCATAATCACAATCCACTATTCCAGGGCACAACTTGTGGAGATCCTTGGTAACCTAAAAGAAAAACCAGATGTTGCAACATTATTGATGGTAAGTGACAGACATTGTAATTTAATTGAATTCTTACATTTAATGCATGATGACCCAATATTTAAATGATTGTTTCTTTCTTCTCTTGACACATTGAACTTTGGCAAAGCAGAATGCTATTGAACTAGTCATAGTGAATGGATCAGTACTATATTACTAAAGTTTAAAGATATTCACTATACTACATACCAGTTAGTCTGCTATAGTTAGGGCAATAGGTCTGCTAACGTTTGACTACAACAATTTGCCGAGTTTAAGTTGGTGGCTATGTTGTGTAGAATAGATTTCACATATTACGGGTGCCATTTGGGGGAATCTTAAATATACGGAGTATTATTTTTTGGGTCTTGTGTGCTTCGAATCCCACATTTCTGTATTTTCCATTAATATGCAACTCTTTGTCTTGGAAATTTCATGTTATCAGGAGTGTATTAAAAATTGATTGATGATCTTGCACATATTTGTAAGATAAAAAAAAAAAAACAAAAAAAACAAAAAAAACAAAAAAAAAAAAAAAACTAGAAACCTTTGTGGTATGCATGAGGAAGAAGGCTGTTAAAAAGATGACCACTATTTTATGCATGTCTAGGCAAAGCTCAAAATAGACTTATTTGATTTGGATATTCATTCAGACCATGGATTGGTTAAAAATCCTTTCCTTCAAAAATATTGCATTGCGCACAGAAGTGGGTATCTGTGGATTTCTGAAACTATCTGGTAAATATTAGGCCTTTGATCTGCATTACTGCATAATAATACATATTTCACTGATGATTTCTCCTATGGGATTTCATATGTTATTTTATTTCTGTAGGCTTTACAGCGAACTTTGGAATTTGAGGAAGAGTTAGCAGAGAAATTTGGTAGTACCAGCCGCAGTAAAGAAGCTGGTACTGCTGAGGATATAGATAGAGTTGGACAGAATAGTCAGACAGTTTCCGATATTCGAAAAAAGTATGAGAAAAAGCTTGCTGCACATCAAGGAAGTGAAAATGAGGTATGCATCATTGTTTCATTTTGGTTAAAGGGAAGATTAGGGGAAGGGTGAAAAGTTTATTCTTCCCTATCAAACCCCTTAATTTGTTTGATATTATTGGAGGGGAATAAAAGTGATATGTGCAATTATATAGAAAGGAGATACATATCCAATATATCCACTTTTGGATAGGTAGGACCCCTCCTATTCTACTTCCCATTTCTCATTTGCTTAGACAAGGAAAATAACCTTCTTCCCTCCTCTAACCCTTGTCTTTTACATCAAACCAAACATACCCTTAGTTTGAAGTTTGAACATAATGGTTGTAGATTGTGCTTAAGTTTTATGATATTGGTTTGTTTAATCACATGTGGCATCACAATATATTTACTTGTATGTGTATATTGATTTATTTAGTCACTTGTTCTACCTTATGTTTCTTGATATTAGGAGCAAGATGGACACAAGGATTTATCAGTGCCAGGAGCTGGGGTAAATTCTCCTGGATTCTCTTGTAATTTTTGCAATGATTATTCATTAATATTGCACCAATACAAGATGCACCTTTGGGCTCAATTTTAATGCAATTTTTTTTTAAAAAAAATTATTTATTAATGTTTGTGGTTAAGTGCGTTGTGTATAGAAGCTTATATTTGGAAAAATATTTATGAAGTTTTTCTGGAAGTTCTGATATGCTGAGTCTTACAACCAGTTAGAATGTCTAACTGCAGTCAAGCAAGAGATATTCACTAAAAGATTTTCCTAGGCGGATATTTCAAAGCATTGTTAACACTCTTAAATAATGTTGCTCCAATCTTTCAATGATTCAGTTACTCTTAGATAATGTTTTTTCCAATCTTAAAATGATTTGGTTACTTTTAGATGATGTTGCTCCAATCGTTCAATAATTTGGTTCTTGTTCAGACTCTCAAAACTGATAAATCTGGATGCTAAGAGCTATGATATGTTCACACTGCAGTTCAATTTCCGGGGAATCATTTCATCTTGCTTTGAACCTCACTTGATAGTATATGTAGAGTTGGAAGAGAAGACACTAATGGAGAGTCTAGAGAAACAAATGCAGGTACTTTGAATTTGTAATGTACTAATGTTAGTTTGATATGAATTCAGTGCAGCAGCATGTTTTCTTTTTTGCATTCTTTCAGTTATTGATAGTGTTTTGCACCTCTTACTGCAGGAGGAGACATGGGAAATTGAGGAGGGAAGTCAGACTAATATATTATCTAGTGGCATTCAGGTAACTGTTATATAATTATATTGGGAGTTGGGACTGCTACTCCTGGGATGTATATGTATATATAAACATTTAATTCAGAGTGCAATGACTATATACTCCATACTGCTCCGCCATTTTTTTCCATGACAAGTAGTATTATATATTCTTTCCCTTAGAAATAAAGCATTATACTATCAGTCTATCACTATGATCTTACAAATACAAATAACATTTTTTGCCATTCTAAACTCTGACATCATGAATTGGAAACTTGGAAACTCCTCATCCCTCAATATCTTTTTGTGTCCTCTTTTTTATCATGACTCCACAAGGAATCTTTCTCTAAGTTCTAGAATACTCTCAGTTCCCTATGGTATGATTTAAGGTACATCTTGACATGTACATCAAATAATTACCCAATAACTCTGATCATGCTCTATTTGAAGTAGCCACATAGAAATAATGCATCATGTCCAGTGTATATTGGGATTGTGGTGCTATTATTGTAAACATTGTATGTTTTCCTGCTACTTACTCTGGTTTTTACTTTTGAAGGTCTTTGCAATTATCAAGAGGAGCTTGAAGCGATGCAGTGCTTTGACAAAAAGTGAAACACTGTTTAATTTGTTCAAGGTGTGGTTTCAAGTCAAGTAGTCAACCATATTAATTCTGCTTGTTGAACACTGTACTCCCTTGGAGATGCAGTAGTTAGCTTCAGGAGTGTATTCTAATTTTTAACAAGTTTTAATACTATACTTTCTCAAAGGTAATCCCAATGAATGAAGCTTGCGCTTATATTTGTGTATCACGGATTTAAGCAGCTGCCTTGAATCTTGATACATCAGATGCATTAGGATATTTTTGGTCCTTTGCCTTAATCACCTGCTAAACAGGGATGTATATATTCAAACCATTGTATCATGAAAGAGTCCATCTAACAGGTTTATTGCTTGTGTTAATAGGTATTTCAAAAAATTCTTAAAGCATATGCAACAAAGCTTTTTGCTAGATTGCCCAAGGGCGGTACAGGAATTGTAGCTGCAGCCACAGGAATAGATGGACAAATAAAGGTATTTATTTTTCTCCAATTTCAGTTGAAACCGTTCTCATCTTTTCATGTTTCTGTTCTGTGCTTGTGACCAAATAACTATCTATTCCAGACATCTGACAAGGATGAGAGGGTGATTTGTTATATTGTAAACACAGCGGAATATTGCCATAAAACGGTAAGTTGTATTCCTCATATGCACTATGACAACAAATATTATTACAAAATTATGAAAACCCCTTAAATCATTCAAATTCTAAATGCTTAATCTATTAGGTAGCAAAAAATCCTAAACTTTAAAAGAAAATAAAAAGGAACTTTTCATTCCTTCTCTTCAAGTTGTAACATTTTTCTCTTTTTGACAGTCTGGTGAATTGGCAGAGAATGTGTCCAAAATTATTGATCCTCAATTTGTAGATAAGGTGGATATGTCTGAAGTGCAGGTATTCAAATGACTATATTGCTGATTGCTCTGCCAAAATAAAAAATTAAAAAATTCTCTTATCTGTTGAAAATGACAATGAAAATGACATGTATTTCAGGATGAATTTTCCGCAGTCATCACAAAATCATTGATGACATTAGTACATGGTATAGAAACAAAATTTGATAATGAAATGGCTGCTATGACACGTGTTCCATGGGGTACACTTGAAAGTGTTGGCGATCAATCAGAGTAAGATGTGATTCTTGACTACCATTACAGTGACCACTGATACTTAAAATGTTCTTATCCTGCTTCCAAATTCTCCTGCAGGTATGTCAATGGCATAAATACTATCCTCACAAGTAGCATCCCTGTCCTTGGAAACCTTCTTTCTACCATTTACTTCCAGTTCTTTTTAGATAAGGTGAAAATTCTCAATATCCATTGGACCTGTTTTTTTTCAGCCTTAATAAATCTTGTCTTTCTGTTAAAACCAACTTTTGGATCGTTCGGTTGTCAGCTTTATGGGAGCTATCTATTCTCTCCTTTCTCCCACTTATCTACTGATTGCCACTTGTGTTGTTTTATTTGATTTTTTTTTTTTAGTATTCTCTTTCAGAAATTTATGTTTTCCTGTGTTTGCAATGCTAAAATGCAGCTTGCATCATCTCTTGGTCCACGCTTCTACCTCAATATATTCAAATGCAAGCAAATATCAGAAACTGGAGCTCAACAAGTACTAATCATTTTCGCCTCTACTATATTCCTTGTACTATGTTTTTATTTAGTACTCTTCATTATGTTGTGATTTCAGGGCAGAGATGCATGAGTGGTCAAATTTTAATCAGATTTTTTTGACACAGCAAAAACAGCATAACTTGTATAAATAGTCAGTCACGCTGTCTGTGTCTATAGTATTAATACACAACTATAAATCTACTGTCGGGCAGTTCAAATTATATTACCAAATAATTGTTAGTGTTGCTTACGAACTGCATTTTGCAGCATGTATGCAATGCGAGTCTGTACCAAGAAATAGTCCTGTGGTTGCCTTACTCTATTGAACCAGACTTAAAATACTCTTGTGATGTGATTGCAGATGTTGTTGGATACACAAGCTGTGAAGACTATTCTTTTGGAAATTCCTTCTCTTGCGAAACAAGTAATTTAATGATATATATTCAATTTTTGAGTTCATTTGGATTTCAATTTATTATAGTTCCAGTGTTCTACTTCCATGGTGATGTCATGGCTTGTCAACTTGATGGTGATACATAATCCACCTTTTCTGTGGATCATCACTTAGTCCTAAAAATTGATGCTGGTTACTATTATAGGTTTTGGACCTGCAGTTAAAAACAACAAAGAACCATTCTGCTGTATCTGCACGTACATTTATGTTAAATATGTTTGTTTTTCTGAGTCTCCTGTTTTCTTTTCCTGAATAGACATCAGGAGCTGCTGGCTATTCAAAATTTGTAAGTCGTGAGATGAGCAAAGCCGAAGCATTGTTGAAGGTCAGTAACCAAATGATGTTTTTTGTGAAGGATGTTAATTTGAATAATCAGTAACATGTACTAATTTTTGTTATATAGGTTATATTGTCCCCATTTGACTCTGTAGCAGATACCTATTGTGCACTTCTGCCTGAAGGAACACCTACAGAATTTCAGCGAATTTTGGAGCTTAAGGTTGTATTATCCTTTTCTCCCATTCAGCTATTTTTTGGAATTTCTCTTATGTTCTACATCCCTATTCGTAAATCATAATCTCCTCAGCCTGATTTATTTGTATGTGCCTTTAAAAAAAAATTTAAAAAAAAAAAAATTGACAGAAGTAAGATTTTATTGAGTAGCATGAGAAATTAAATTTATACATATCAAATGGTATCATTTTGATGCCTAATATACAAATGAGTGCCTTATATTTTCCAAACTAGAAATCAAATATGTTTACCATGGGTTTGTTTCCTACAAGTAACACTAAACTTTTGTTCCATAATTTCTCTATTTCTTCCTTTTGATGTGTTGGAGTAGTCATTATTTATATCTCTCTAATCCCTTTTATGTTTGAATGCAGGGCCTGAAAAAAACAGACCAGCAAAGCATACTAGATGATTTCAACAAAAGGGGATCGGGGATTGCCCAGCCGTCTATTGTTGCCCCTTCAGCTGTACCAGCAGCCGCTGCACCCAGCACATCTATAGCACCTACAATCGCCAATCCAGCTTCACCTGTGGCCATCTCATCAAGAGAGGATGTGCTAACCAGAGCGGCTGCGCTTGGCCGAGGCGCAGCCACAACTGGGTTTAAAAGATTCCTTGCCTTGACTGAAGCTGCTAAAGATCGTAAAGATGGACCATTCAGAAAGCTCTTTAACAGTTAAAAACACAATTGATTGTAACTTCATATATTTGGGTGGGTGGGTGGTCGTTTCTCCCCCAGTTTTTAGTACATCAAAATTTCAAATTTTGTTTGTTTGCATTCTGGAACACGATAATAACAAAAGCTCGTAGAGATTCTTTGTAAATTCAATCTGACACCCAAATATAGTGTACCCTTGAGCTGTAGATTTGGTATTCTATCCCGATAATACTTTGATTGGTTTGCAGATATTTGAGGTGCTAATGTTCAGTACTGGAAGTGTCAATATTTAACATAATTTAAAGTCAAAAGATTAAGACGTAGAGATGTTTGTAGAGAGCATAGAAAGTCATACTTGTACAGTTACTTGCGTGTTAGGATGAAAAGTGAAAACCAATGGTGATAGGGGGGAGACATCATGAATGCCCTGATAGTAGGTGGGTGGGGGATCTCCCTCATTGAGTGTACTTTGTGTCTCCAGGGAATAAAGTTGTAGGGGGTATCCAAAGTGAATTTCCACAACTTGAAATACTGATTTGTAACAATAATTGAGAGTATATATGTAAATTTTGTATTTTTAAAGTTTATTTTTTTTTATTTTTTTTTTAGAATAATGTCAACCTCTCCAGTCCACACAATTTCTATATACTCACTCGGTATTATATTTTTTTCAACCTTTATTATATTCTGTGGAAGTTTATAACAACCATTCATTCAACCTGAAAAACTAGTTACTCACAATCATACATCAATTCACCAAAAAGAAATAGGGGGCATCAAATAATTAAAAGGGAAGGGAAAAGATATGCCATTGCCATTGCCGTGTAACATAAAAATAAAATGTAGATTCAAAGTCAAGTAGTAGAGGACGAAAGAAAGGGCATAAAAAGCTTTCCCTTTATAAAAAGTAAAAACTAACGCACTCCCTATCTATCTACACACTCCCATGGCTCACACTCACAGTGCGACCTCCTCACCCAGTACATCAACCATACAACACAAATTATTCAATCATTTTTAATTAGAAAATAACAACAACATAATAATGAATCTCTCAAACTCGATCAGACTTGAGAACCGCTCCTGAATGAACCCAGAGCCTTGGCCGCTCCTGCCCTCAGGATGAACTGGTGGTAGAAAGCTGCAATGGCAGCTCCAATGAATGGTCCTACCCAGAAGATCCACTGTACAAACATTACATTAACAACAACAAGAAGAAAAGAAGATTAGTGAAATAATGTAATTAATTAATTAAGTAGAAAAGTAATGATACTAACATGGTTATGCCATGCTTCGTCCTTGTTGTAGATAACAGCAGCTCCAAGACTCCTTGCTGGGTTGATTCCGGTGCCGGTGATCGGAATGGTGGCAAGGTGAACCATGAACACCGCAAATCCAATTGGGAGAGGTGCCAATACCTGCAACCAAATCCAGTTTCATTCAAATCCGTAATAAAAACATATTTTATTGTCCCACTTTTTTCTTTTAATAGTTAATTATCATGAGTTTGAGGATATGATTAAATAATTGTTGTTAGATTCTTGAACACCTAGAAGACAACGAATCTACTTACGGGGACATGTGAATCTCTGGCACTCCTCTTGGGATCAGTGGCCGAGAAAACGGTGTACACAAGAACAAAAGTTCCGATGATCTCCGCCGACAGCCCCACGCCTTTGCTGTACCCATGGGCCAACTGATTTGCTCCGCCGCCGTACCTAGTGTAGTACGCCTTCTGGAAGGCTTTCACCAGCCCAACGCCGCATATGGCCCCCAAACACTGCGCCACCATGTACATCACCGCTCTGATTAGCGACACTTTCCGAGCTAGGAACAGCCCAAATGTCACCGCCGGATTAATATGCCCCCCTGCATATATGCGCCCACACATTAAAAACGTTAGTTGAAAACAAAAAAAGGTTGGTTAATTACAGATCGAGGTTACGTTCTTACCGGAGATACCGGCGGTGCAGTAAACAAGGATGAAGATCATGCCACCGAAGGCCCAAGCTATTCCAAGAATGCCCACGCCGCCGCAAGGGTCAGCCTTGGGGTCGGCAGTCTCACTCTTGTACCCAATCACAGTCAACACTGTAATGTAAAGGAAAAGAAGTGTGGCTATGAACTCAGCTATCACAGCTCTGTAAAACGACCACTTGGTCAGCTCCTCCGCGTCGATGAGCGGCGCCGGCGGCGGATCGTGGTAGTCCTTCGTTGAAAATGACCCCGGCTCCGCCATGTCCTTAGTCATCTATGTAACAAACAAAATGCTATAGCACCAAAATCTGAGAGAAAAACAAGAAAACAATACCAAAGCACCAAAGAGACTAGAGAGAGAGAGTTTAATGGTGAGATTGGAGTAGGGAGAGTGGCTATATATGCAAAATGGGATGGGCTAACATTAGGTGTAAATTACTTTACCATGGCTTAAATTTTATTTTAGGAGACTTTAGTCCAAAATTAGAGACATAATATCCAAATATTACATACACGCATGACAATTCATCATGACCATTCTCATTTATATTTATAAGATCTTTAATCAGTAGTCGAATTTGTAATTTTGTGCTTACTAAATCAGCCATCTAACTAACTTGATTAAGGTTGTCACTTAATATTTTCATTTTTTATTCACAAGAAAGCAGACAATCCCTACTTAAAGGTGTGTTTTGTGTGAAACCAGAAGTAAATCAGCTTAAGTTATTTCTAAAAAATTTTAATATTTTTCATTGTTGAATATAAATGTTGCTACACATTTATTAATATACATATGTATATGTATATTGTATTGGGAATAATAGTATTTAGGAATAGTGCACAAATGGGTGTTGATAGAGGTAAAGAATAGATGCAGATGAAGTACGTCACTTTCACCGACCCAGCCCCACCCACCATCACTTTTTCATCATGTAACGGCTAGTCACCCCTGAATTGTCTCGTGCACCGCATTCATGTCTTTCATGACCCTATATATTAATCCCTAAATTAAAATTGGAAAAAAAAAAGGGGTAAAGAAAAAGAGAGAGAAGAGTTTGAGTGGGAGTAGGGTTTTTAATTTGTTGCAATTTATAGAAAGTTTGAGTTGTGAGGGAAAGGGAAAGGAGGGAATTAAAGTAATGTAAATGAGTGTGGAACACTAGAAGTGAACCAAACCATTTAATTTGATGGTTTCATTTTACTGGGTGCTTTAATTTTGAGTTGGAAAAACAACTTACATGTATGCATGCAGGATCATTATTATGCAACAAATATATTTTCACATTCTAAGATCACCATAATGCGGATTTTACCCGCATATTTTCAAGTAATGATCAATGTTGTAAAAATCTGGCCTAAGTGTCAATTAATTGGCGCCCTAGGTACTAGACACTGACCGGTAGTCTAGTGTATCACTATAATTGGTGATCTTGACAGCCAGCTCGGCAGTTGACTAGAGCGCCTAAGCATAGCCTAGTCAGCGGATTAAAAATGTTAGAAATAGAGAAACCTTCGGTTTCTATTTACTTTCGAGTGATTAAAAATTGCAACATTTTAGTAGTATTATTGTTAAATATCTTATTGTCTCAATATTTTATTTATAAATTCTTTCTATAAAACTATTTACTTATATATATATATAGTTTTTGTATTATAGGTAGGTAACAAGATTGTTGCAGTATAGAATTTAAAAGTGTTTGGTATTAGGGTACGTCCTGCCCGTAATGAAAAGGATAGTTCATATATGGTAATTAATTATTATTTTTTCGAAATCTACTGTTCCTACGTGTCTTTATTATGAAAGTAGGGAAACTTGATGGGAAGGGCATTATTGTTTTCTTGCTGACAGCCTGACCCAAAAATTTTGACAGAAATAATTCATTTGGGGTGGGGGTTTCCTTCCCATATACAATTTGCTTTATTTAAGGGTAAAATGCATGTTTCATTGAATCATATGCATAAAATTATAATGGTTCATTTAACTCAAAAAATTGAAATCTAACTCTTTGAATAATTTAAAATCATACAATTAAATTGAAAGTGATATTTTCCCGATTTCTATTGATGCGACGGTTATCTTATTAAATATTAATTTTTTATTTTATTTTAATGATTTTAAATAAAATTAAATTAAAAAAATTCAATCTCGTACCCCGCATTCTTCACCCGCCAAGAGACGAAGATATTTTTTCTTCTTCGGCCAGAGACAAATTTAAAGGCGGTGCTAGTTTTTTTTTTATAATTATTTTATTTAAAATTATTAAAATAATTAATTTTAAAAATTAATTTTTAATGAAATAATCTACTCGTTAACAGGAACTATGATAATAGGCCACTTTTGATTTAATTGAATGATTTTAGATGATTTAGACACTTAATTGTAATTTTTTAAAATTGAGTGACTCAAATGCAATTTCACTATAATTTAATGATTTATTTGACTTTTATTTCTTTTTAAAAATGAATCATATTAGTAGTTTGAAACAGTAGGTATCCAAACTGGCAATATAACTATAAGATAAAAAATTATTTTTATGTTAAAGTGTTACGAGTTAGATTTTCTTTTCAAATGCTGTATGCAAAATAATCAAAATTCTCGGGTTTTTGATGCATGTACACAGATTACACATTTACACCTAATCTGGGCTACTAAATACTAGCCAATATTATTGCATAATTATTATTATTTTTGAAAGCAAAAAGTGAACTTCAATTATTGCAAAAGCAAAGAAATAAAGTCTAGAGGGATAGAGTTCCAGTACAAAGTACCAGCATGTGAAATGACTTTAGAAGCTAAAGAATAAGCAATCAAGTTTAACTATTTAGGCACTAAAAATAAAGAGTAATTGACTAAAGAAACCAAATAGCCTTACAATCCTCAATAACCACACCAATATATGATATAGGAGAGCTCCCCGAACTATTGATGAAACGATAAAGAGTCGAGCAATCCGTGTGAAAAGCTACCGACTCAATCGTCCAGTCCATCAACTAAGACAATGCCTCCTTGCAAGCTAGGGCGTTCGCCATAGACGGCAATGGTCCGCTAGTGGCAGCAATAAATTGACCTTCGACCGAGAGCAAGGCCGCTCCGAAATGCGTCCTTCCCAAGTCCGCGAAGAAGGCCGCGTCAAAGAAGCAGCGAACCCTATCCGAAGGTAGCTATGGCATCGATTGCATAATTATTTGATTAAACATTAATTAATACAACCGTACTGATTTAAGTCCGCATTGGCAACTCAGTTGGTCACAAGGGTAAAGTTTGGGAAAAATGATAAGGGATCAAGTCTTAACAGCGGCAATATGGAAGCAATCTCTGTGCGGCTCGAGTCGAGTCTTATTGTGCACAGTAAACAAAGGTTAATTTTGAGTGAACGAGTAAAATAGAAGTTGAAATAGTATTTTTTTTTAATGTTACTAGCCCTATTACATTGTAGTATCTATTCATATAGTCTTGGTAAGTTGAAATAGTATTTTCCGAAGTGATTGGAGGTATGCCAAATGTGCAAGTTGTGGTGTTAGGTTCTCCGGCCGGCCTAGTGTCAAGTGGTGAGAAGTTAGCCCCTACATGCACTCACTGCCATTCATATTCATTTCAAATTGTCAGCTGCCTACCTCTCTAGCCATGGCGCCATCCCCCCTCCCCTACCTCTCATTGACTAATAAGTAATACCATTTTTATTTAATAATATATTATTTAAGGTGTTTATTAGTTTTGATATTATCTGTATAATAAAGTATAATCACGAGTGGTTACTTGGATAAGTATTAACTATCTAATATAACTTTGATGGCCTAAATAAGCATTGACTATACAGATTCTGGGTTACTGAGGACACTGTGTGAATGTATGAAAATACTGAGACGATAAAAAATCACACATACACTTTGACTAATAACTGAGTTATAGACTTATAAGTGTAGTAAGGGCGTAAGGATGCCGTATAATCCCATTAAACCTAAATAATAAATACAAGGAAAAAGTATCAAATACGTCATTGAATTTTTACATATTGTGTAATTGAATCATCGAACAAAAAAATTGTGCAATTGAATCAACTCAAAAATTATGCAAATAACATTTTTTACATGTTGCTCCCAAATTTCCATTAAATATGATGTCATAATGTCACACGAATCGAACCCCAATGGTGGGATATTGACTCTTTGAACTGCATTAGTTAAAGAAAATATATAATAGATATTATCTTGTAATAAAATTATGTATTAAAAAAACAGTAATATAGAAATTCTCTATAATCTTGTATCTTGTTAAAAAAAAATACAATTTAATATTTTAAAATTAGAGTTTCATAGGTTTAGTGTATAGACTGTCGTTGGATTCGATACTATACTTTTGCCTTGACCAGTCCCAATCATATAAAGATGATACATCATTTTCAATTATTATTATTATCTTTAAGATAAAGCTTATAGGATGGGAATTTCCCCCTTGCTTTAAGGTAAGAAATATTCATTACATATATTATTGTTCATCTAAGAACTGTTCTAAATCCTATTGCGCATATTTATATATATATAAAATTGATAATATACCATCCACATGTTAATTTGTAAAAATTTTAATATATTTGACTTGGCGACATAAATTTAATATCATAAAATTGACTTATTATACCTATTAAATTTAGAGTTCGTTATTAAATAATGTGCACGAGAGGTAATTATACATGTTGTATAGTTTATATAAATAACTAATTACATGTAATGTTCAAACATTTTCCATCTAATTTTTTTGTACTTAACTAAATTACTAATTACGATGTTTGTTTCATGTAATTATTGTATAAAAAATAAGGAGTTTGATTATTGTCATCAATACTCTTTTGGTTGAACATGTGGCACGAGATTACACTCTTCCAACATTTAATGCAAAATAAAAATAGTATAGAATCAATGGTACCAACTGGAAGTAATTAATAATTAATATATTTTCTGCTTTAAAAAAATATAATATATTTTCTTAAATTAGAATAGTATTTGTACTAGGCAGTTCTGGATTATTGGAGAAACATGTTTCGGGAATTAATGTTAATTCTGTGCACATATTTATATCGTGCCGTATAGACATAGAAGAAGAATGCATTGTCAGATGCAAGAAGCCAACAACCAACAACGAAAACGTGGACGGTGGTAAATGAGTAGGTTGTCGTTCTCATCATCCTTGCCTGTCTGGATATAGTACGGCACGCATTTGGGAAATCTTTCAAATCTTACTCTGTAAATTTTACTTTTACTTTTTGATATAGCAGATATTGATAAACTACTTTTTCATATAGGTCTTAATATAAGTGTCTATATCAAGATTTTGTGTGTAAAAGTAAAAATTAAAAATAAAAAATGAGAATACATGTAGTATTTTTTGAGAAAAAAATTATAAAAATGTAGATGAAAGAGGACAACTACAGTAGCAAGAAACTGGATGGGCCGGGGGTGAAGTGCATATGCAATGCAATAATGGTGTAGAAAGAAGATAGGGTTAGGGTTGATTGGTTGTTGTTTTTGAAGTTTAGGGTTTTGGGGGTTGATGAAGATTCGTTGCAGGCAGATCCTCTGACTCTAGCAGCTGCCAATGTTATTTTATTATTAATGTGAGGTGTTGTAACGGCTAGCTTCTTGCTTCTACTTATCTGTTTTGGATAAGACTTTTCGTGCATTGTCTAGTGACTTCCAGAGCAGTAGTCCTGTGCACTTCCCTTTGTCCTAGGTCACTACAACGGGTGAATAATAGATCACTTAAGATTGTGTTAACTAATTGGTTCAGACTAAAAAGATTAATAGATCATTCTTTTGATTTATAGAGAATTAAAAATAAAATTGTATAAATTGTTTGACAATTTTGTAAAATATTGTATACTAGTATCATTACAATAAATAATTATTGCACCTTGGAATATCAAACACCAATACGAATCAAACCCTGCAACATGAACGATTAGTCGGTATCTTCATAACAAGGTCAATATTTTCATCTTTGGGTAAGCTAGAATTGAACTCGACCAGCACTCTATAAGATTATATATAGTTGTCGGTCAAGCAAAATATACATCTTATTCGAACTGATTAATTAATTGAATAATGTCAAGATACCTCACGTGAAAATTATACAACTATTACCTTCTCTTCAGTTAACGGTCACCAGCTAGTCCAGAACTTGATCCTTGTTCCATTTTGCACCATTCTCAACCAACTCCGTACTTCTCATAAGTCACAATGTTTAGCTTTTCAAAGTAAAGGTGAACTGGTTTTGATTTATACACTGACCACAACTCATCATCATTCCTCAAAATAGGTATCCTTCATGGCCTTCCCAACGTGGCCAGCAGGGCAATATTGTTATATTCATCTGTGCAATAATATTCCTATTTTGTTACAACAGAAACAATGAAATTAACTATACATCAAATAGACCAAGAATGTTGTGGTCCAATAGTACAGGGGAAGTTGTGGGTTTGAATCTAAGGAGATAAGAGTTCGTGCACTGATAATTTACGCTAATCAAACTGGTTAAATTTAAAAAAAAAAATTAGTTACAAATTATAATTTAGGGTTAATTCTACGATGGTCCCTTAATTAATTAGTTTTTTTTTTTTTTTTCATATTTGATTCTTTATGCATTTTATGTGAGAATGCATGGAGTGATTTTCTCACTTTTTTTCAATAGTGGAGTATACAGTATGAGTCACTAGTAGCTATACTACATAAGCAAGTAGTGAGGGAATTGATGAATGTTAGAATAATGGAGAAGAGACAAGGTAGTCCCAACACTCGAAAACTCGTGAATGATGAACATGGCCGGTCTACATGATCATTTTCTTCCTTCATTCTATCTGCACCGCCCACTCAGAATTCATTAATTTTGGTCAATGATTGTGGCTCCAAGCTCTCATCACAATTGGTTAGCCACCCACCCAATGGCTGGCTTTATGAATATCTGCACTCGCCACCTTGCTTCCATGTAAGGCCGCCGCAGGCCCAATGATTGCTGGTTTAGAAACACTGAACATATTGTATTAAACTTTCAAACTTGCATTTATATTTTCCCTAACGTGTATATAGTGTAGGACAAAAAGTATGAGTGCGTTTGCACTACTTAGCTATCACGAGAGATCCCACACATATACGCATGCTATACTCGTTTCAATATATGAATATTTCACTTGTTTTTGCCTTTAAGGATGACCCTCTCATCTCAACTTATAAATAGTGACTCAGGCAGGTTTTTGGATTTGTGTGGTCCGGTTCTTATACCAATAGTGTAAAATATATGACTCTTTTTTAGAATGGTTTTGTCATACTCAATAAAATTGATGAGTTTTAGAATTAATTGTAGATTTTTTTATTTTTTAAGTAGTTAGGTTAAAAATAAATATTAGACCCTCTAAAAATTGAGCCCTTGTGCTGTTGTCCATCTTGTACGATCCAAAATCTGGCCATGTGAGCTGGGAAGACTATTATACGTTTTTATGTATGTGTATAATGAAAGGTTGTGATTTAACCTTATTAAGCGACCTTATTCATTAGTATTTATAAATTCAATACAATGTAGGGTAATATTAGGGTTGATTAAATCCATCAATATATTTACTATTTTGAACAAAAAAACTTGATATGATTGTGATCACGAAAAGGTGACGTACGAGTTACAGTGTGGAAGAGGAATCACGGAGTTACAGATAAGGGAATCCATGGGCAGCTAGCTAGCTAGAATCATCTTGGGTTTAAATCAGATTTGTTTCACAGAAAGTATGTAGGATAGATCCATCCCCTCGCCTGGTAAATGATGTACGATGTGGGAGACAGAAAACAAGAATATGCATGAGAAAGTGTTTGGAAAATTATGGCTACTTGCCTACTTCCTTTAACTTTACTTCATTCTTTATTAACTATTTTCCTGTTTTCAAAAAAAAAAAAAAAAAAACTATTTTCCTAGTTTGAAGGTGGGTTGGAAGATGGGCATACACAAAGATATGGGGTGGACCACTCAATCCGTGAGTAACGTAACCATTCTTGATTTGCATCCACATCACATTTTATCTATGTTTCCCCTTCATCATTTATACAAGTTCTTCACACTTGGCTTGAATTACAAATCTTGAGGCATATATTATTGTCGTGAATTTTTGTAAATACCTAAAATTTTCATTGCGTTGTTCAATGGGTAGTGCTGCTCAGCTCTCAAGAAAACATACAAAATAATTAAATACCAAATTAAACAAATGGACTTCAATTCTCTGATCTTATATATACATTCAAAAATCTGCAAACAGGGCCGTCCCTGAGCAAGTCTGCCCAGGGCCCCCAAATTTTGGGGCCCCTTATTTAAAAAAAAAAATTATACTATATATATATATATATATATATATATATATATAGCAGCGAATAGCGATTCAGCATGTAAACTTTGCGAAGTCGACTAACCTATTCCCTAAGTCCTTAATGTAGCGTTCGAATTACGACGGAGTCGACGGACATAGGAGAATCACGATTCACGAGATATTTCTACACAAATTGTCTAGGTATTTGTTTATTACTTTTGCAGAGTCAATATATATCCAATCTTTTGAGCAGATGAAGTGTGTGAAGGAGGTTGCTACAGCTCTCTGAGTATCTGTTCATCCTCCACTTTAATTTGAGTTTATTATTTATAATTTCAGTATTTGAGTAGTGCTATTTTTGAGTTACTAATTGATTATGTAAAATTACAAATTAAATTTGTCAATTTGGGAATTCTCAATTCACTAAATAAGTTATTAAGACGATAATTTACAAATAATTTAGTTTTATTCTTTGCCCAGGCAGTACAATTTAATGAATTGACGCAAGACGAGATTCAACTCGTGTGCTATTGATTCCTCAATTCTTTTTTTATCATACAAAGTCTAAAGTTCTTCAATTTTCTTGACAAGTAATTAAAATTACGTATTGTTTTACAATTTTTGTTTATTGTGTTATTTATATGACTTAATAATTCTAATTTCAGAATAATATATTCAAGAATTTGTTTCTTGATTGATTATTTATTCATAGAGTTTCTAAATAAATTTTTATTTTTCCTTAGGATTTTATGTCTTCTAGAAAATATTCATATGAGTTTGAGAAGTGTAAAAAGAAAAGAAGAATTGTTCAACTAACTCAATCTCAAAAGGGAGTTCTTGAAAAATTCATTAAAAAAAAAAAAAAAAAAAAAAAAAAAAAAACTCAAATAGAGGAACAAAAAGATGATGCCAAGGGAAAATTGTTAGATGCTAATCTTCATATAGAAGATCAAGATGATTGTGAGATTGGAAAAAATCTAAAATCTAAATGATACTGTGCACAACGATGGTAGTTGTTTAGATGATGTTGGTCACAGTGATAAACTAAATGATTCGCTTTTATTTGACTGTGATTATAAATTAATAGAATTCCATTTTTGGTCCTACTGTTATAGGGGTCATTCCAATTTTAGTCCACCATAATAATTTTTGCCAAATTGCGTCTATTATTATTAAAAGTGTTCCAATTTTAGTCCACGAAAAATCTTAAAATGGACTAAAATTGGAACACTTTTAATAATAGTGGATGCAATGTGGCAAAAATAATTATGGTGGACTAAAATTGGAAAAACCCCTATAACAATAGGACCAAAAATGGAATTCACTCATATTCTTGTGAAAAATGGTCTAAAAGAGATTTATCAATAAATAAAGGTCCCAAAGATAAACTCTCTAGAAAATTTTTATCAGCATTTTACGCAAGATATATGTCAATTTTGGCTAAAATACTCTCATTATTTCAACTATTAAAATTTTTCGGTGAAATTTGACTGGAGTGACTAAAATTGACAAAAATTACATACTCAAGGTACTAAATTGACACTTTTAAAAGTTATGTGTTGAAATTAACGAAGCCCCTATAGTCATATGACAAAAATTGAAATTTTTTCTATAACTAATATAAAAATTACTTGAAAAAAGGGGCCCACATTTTAATATTGCACAGGACCCCAATTTTGATTGGAACGGCCCTGTCTGCAAACATACACTGTACTCTAAAATATACTTGCCTGCATTTACAAGGTCAAAGGGAAGCATATATGCAGGGAAAAGAAAAGAAAGGAGTATACTTTTGAAGCAAATATGGACAAAATTAAAGGCCATCAAAGAAAATCCACATATATAAATGATTAATCCCAAATTAGCAATCTCTAAAGCTAGCCAAGTTTGTTGAAAAGTTGAATAATTTCTTGATATTTTCTTACAATCCACCCGTGTTCATTATAGCCCGAGAAGAGGAGGAAACTGTGACTATTAGAGCCACCACTACAATGTGTGCCTTAGCCATCTTCCCCGCACTACTAACCGACCTTTCCTTAGGATGTCTCATTTCCATTTCCATCCTGGTTTCGTCGTTCCTCTTTCTTTTCATTGTTAGGGTTTCCCCTGCCTCATTGGCACCAAACTCAAATTCGGGATCCTCTTTGACCAACAATTTAACAACTTCAAAATGCCCTTTCCTCACCGCCTTGTGCAAAGCTGTGTCTTTATAGCCATCCATCATCCTCACCATATCTCTTGCTCCCATCCCAGATTCGAGTTCTGGGCGCGCTTTGGCACAGTTGATGAGCGCAGAGACGACGCCACTGTGGCCTTCCCTTGCAGCAATATAATGTGAAGCGTGTTAGATTAGAATAATCTAACTAATACTGAATAATAGTATACGAGAAACCTGACCTCGTATGATAGCTGAAGTGTAGCCGATCTTCAGCCAT